CTAAGTAACCAGTGAGATTATCAAAGACATAACGAGCGTGTTCAATAAAACGCATTGCCGGTGAGGTCATCTAATGGCCTATTATTTTTAATTTGAACTTTTTGCCTTAACCTTTTCTCAGCGCTGAATCAGCTTCCCCAACCGGCACTTTAATTTCTCCCCCATTTGGGAGATTGATGGGGCAGGAGTAAGGGAGCGTGGTCGAGTGGCTAGAACAGGGGCAGGGGCAGGGGTGAAGACTCTGGGGTGCTCAGCCCAGCTCTGGGTCTGGGTGTGGGCAAGTGGTGAGCACAGGGGAACTGGGAGGAGGGTGTGGACTGGCAGGCCGGAGGCCTGGATTGCATTCCCTGCATTGGGAAAGGGTGTGGCCCACAGCTTAGAGGAAGAGGCAGTGAGGCCAGACTCCTGGGCTCTGCCCCTAGATCTGAGAGAGACGCAGGGGCCTGGGAGGCAGCGCGCTGCATAGTGACGCTGGCCTGGCGACCCAGGCAGGTTTAATGGCCCAGCAAGAGCTTTGAGATCTTTGGCTGATGGGCAATTCCTTTGGCCTTGATGCTGCAGGGCCGGGTGCGGTGCACACGGTGGCTGTGTTACACAGGCACCAGTGCCTGTTGGGTGAGTCTCAAGGTCCTGGCACACCGGTCTCCCTATGGCCCAGGGTAAAATCAGGGCAGGGCCTAGGTGCAGGACAGGGGTGATGTAGGAGCCTTATGCTCTGGCTGCACTGAGCTCCACCCTCCCTTCGCCCATGCGGTAGGACAGCAGCACTCCCACTAATACAGGATCGGGGGCCCCGGAACAGCACCCCACCCCTGTGCTGCCCAGGATGAAGCCCTAATGCAAAGCCGAGCCTTTCCCTCATCCTCCTCTGCTGAGCTCCCCTGGCCCAATCACACCCTTGGATTTCAGAGCATTGGTCACTACCAACTGCAGCTCAGTCCCTCCCCTTCCCGCAACCCGTAAAATAGCAAATCCCTGCCCCTTACGGCAGAGCCAGGGCCCTTTCCAAACACTCCTCCTCCTACCAGCCCTCTGTCATCACCACCTCCATTGTATAGCCAGCACTGGAGAGCGAAGGGGCTACCCACAGGCACACAGCCAGGCTGGGGCAGGACTGGGAGTGGGACTGCCAGGGCGAGGCTGGGACCAAAAGGCCCACGGTCTCTGCGGGTGTAAGAAAGCCGCCACACACTTTGTAACGCAGCCGTGGCTGTGGCACAGGGAAGGCCGACGGTCCTGTTGAAACAGAACCCTGATCACCAGCCCCCTTGCTCTCCGGAGCGCCTCTCTCGCAGTCCCACCAGCTCCAGCTGGGCTCAGAAGGTAGCAGCACTGGCCCCAAGTCAGACTGATGTGAGGTGTAGAAGTAAAACCAAGCTGGTGGGAGAGTTAATGACGGAATGTCGCCCGGTGGCCTCAGTTATGAACGGAGAGGGGTAGGGGGCGCTCTGCTGGATGGGACAAGCCATGCTGACAACTCACCATGTTTAAACAGCCTACCGGGGGGGTTATGGGAAGTTGATGCTGTTTACTGAATATCATGCCTGGAGTTTCGATTGGACTCTGTGTTCTTCGCTTTTTAGCCGAACCTGTTGTGTGCTGTGCTGAGAATGGATGTTCCACCCCAGAGCTGGCTGCATTTCAGTTATGGGTGAAACAATCCTTCACTCCCTACAGTTTGCCTAGTGCTTTGGGGGTGTCTGATGAAAGCTAACATCACCCTTTATCCTCCAGCAAGAAAGAAATTAAATTCCAGGCAGCTTATGGGGTGGAGGGTCTCTCAAAGGACCCCAGACAGCAGGTGCTCAGTACAGACACCGAGAGCCCTAGACATACTTAGCCTAGTTGCCTTGGTCAAAATTTACCCTCTTGTCATAGAATCATAGAATATCAGGGTTGGAAGGGACCTCAGGAGGTCATCTAGTCCAACCCCCTGCTCAAAGCAGGACCAATCCCCAACTAAATCATCCCAGCCAGGGCTTTGTCAAGCCGGGCCTTAAAAACCTCCAAGGAAGGAGACTCCACCACCTCCCTAGGTAACCCATTCCAGTGCTCCACCACCCTCCTAGTGAAATAGTGTTTCCTAATATCCAACCTAAACCTCCCCCACTGCAACTTGAGACCATTGCTCCTTGTTCTGTCATCTGCCACCACTGAGAACAGCCGAGCTCCATCCTCTTTGGAACCCCCCTTCAGGTAATTGAAGGCTGCTATCAAATCCCCCCTCACTCTTCTCTTCTGGAGACTAAACAATCCCAGAGCCACTTCTGCTCTGGAACAAAGACACTTGGGCCTTCCTGGGGGAAAGCATTGTCCCGCTTGTGCAGAGCAATACATGCTGGTTACCTCCCCTCCACCCACTGCTCTGCATGGGGCTGAAAGGACACTGTTTGCAATGTACTTTGCAACCCCGGGAGAGGACAGGTGCTATTCAAATATACAGTGGTGCCAACTGTGTGATCCGGATCACTCCAGGGATGTGCCGCAGGAGAAGTTCAGCGAGCAATGGGCGGGGCTGTTGGGCATTTCCCACCCATGGTATTGAACTGACAAGAACACAGCAATGGCAGAGGAACAGTTCAGTGTTGGGAGCATATAGGAGCCCCAGAGCGATCAGCCCACGGGTCTATTCAACACCTTTTTATTAAAAAGAATTACAAAAAGGAACAGGTTACAATGTTTATATACAGTCCAAAAAATCTATCCCCTTTGCTGTTACAGCGTCCCAGGCGCTTCAAAGAAAGAATTACTGCAAGGGGGCAGACCCCCATGCCAGCTGGTTACCTGCAGCAGCATCTACAGTACGCCACGTTTCCGGGTGGGAGGTGGGGGGGTAGAGAACACAGGCGGGGGGAGGAGATAGTTAGTAACAATACAGTGACCAAGAGGCCTGATTTTAATCAGCACAGTGATGACTGGCACCCCAGAGCTGCTTCCTGAAATGGACAGAGCGGGAGGAAGGCAAGAGGGACTGCAAAAGATAGAAAGCGACGTGGAATATTCCAAGCCCCTATAACGAACCCGGCCCGAAATCTCATTTTAGACCGTCGTCCAATACGGGCTACAACTGAAGCCCATCATGGTGGAGTGAAAACTGAAGGGGGAACGGAAGGAGATCCATCATTTCTGCTGCTGGAAACCTGGCATCAAATGCCTCTCACAACAGGCAAGAGGACTCCATCCTCTAGCCATTAATGAGGGCAGCTCGTCCCAGTAGATGTGCCTTCTACCCCTCCTCTCACCCACCCACCCCCCATTGCTACATGGGCCCACACGAACATTGGGCACCAAGCCCAACTGGAGAACAGCAGCTGGGGAATCACCTGTTATGCCATTCGCCCTCACGGGATGGCGTCCACTGAAGGGTGGGAATGTCCGTTGCCCAGGCCACTTCTGCTCTGGAACAAAGACACTTGGGCCTTCCTGGGGGAAAGCAGCCGGAGCCAGTTCCCAGCTGGGGCGTGAACGAAAAGTGGAGGTGTTCCGGCCTAACGGAAAAGCTGACTGGAAAGACGTCCTGAAGGCAAGAACCTGCCTCGAATCCTGCACTGCTCCAAGCTTTATTGCTAAACAATGCTCGCCCCTTTCTATAGCCAGCGGAACAGAACCAGACTGGGAACAGTCCGCACTGGCAATCCGGAGGAGAAGCTCATTAGCAGTAAAGATGGTGTAACCTCTAAGCTGTAGTTCCTAGGAAGTACCTCTGGTGGGGAGAGGGCAGGAGCAGAGAAATCCATTCCTCCCCAGTAAACTTCCTACACGGCCCCACCCACTAGCAAAAGACAGGCCTTGTGAACAGCAACGTTTACTGCTCAGTGCCTCAGAGTCTGGAATAGCAGGTGGCAGGGCCGGAGGGCAGCCTGCTGTGAAGAGTGGTGGGGGACTGAGGACACCCCTTTACGTGTATGCCTCCCAAAATACAGCAAGAACCCAACTCAGCAACTCCGTGCTTAGTAGAGGGTCGGCGCTGAGCGAGGGGCTGGGACACGGCATGTTAGCAACAGGGGAGATGGGCCAAGTGGACTGGCTGAGCCACTTGGGGATGGATCTTCAGAGAAAGTGGCTCAAGCCCCGTTAACTCTGCTTCCACAAGCAGCTGGGAAGGGCAGGGAAGTGATGGAGCCTCTGGCTAATGGCTTTGCTCATGCTTGCAGGTTTCTAAGGGCAATGCTGCACATGAAGAACCATCGTCACCCCACCCAACCCCCAGTGCAAGCAAGCCCATGGGGAAGATATGGGAAATACGGCAGAGGCCGCTGTAGTTCCAGGGAAGCAGCAGGGTTATACAGTCTGTAGTGAGGTTATAATCTATGAACGGTAACTGAAGCTAAAATAGAGAGACTTTAGGTGGGGGAAAACATACATCTCACAATGGAACACAAGGTATCAGTGGCAAGTTACTCCTTGGGAGAGAGTTCATCTGTCGTATTTGCAGCCAGCCACTTTATAAAGGGAACAATGCAGCAGGATGTACTGTAGTAATGCCAATCCCACACATCAGTCTGATCACCCTCCCGCCCCACGCCCACGGTGCTATGGCCCCCAGGGAGCAGACGGTCTGTAGGGTAAGGCCCAGTGTGGGCAGCACTAGGGGAAGAGAGGGTGTGAGTTATTCACTCTAGAACGTACCCCCGGGGGCTGCAGAGGCCTGGAACAAACGGACGGCAGCTAGCGGAAGCCATTTTCCATTCTGGTCACTGTATGTTAGCTGAGGGAGGCGGCGTAGGCAAAGCAGCGTTCTGCCCTTCGAAAAGCCAGCCGTGGCTGGGCTCAGCTGCTGCGCTGATCTCAGCTCAGACGAGAGTCTCTCTCGCTCTGAGCCCTGAATGCAAAGGGACTAGAAAAGGGGCGCCATGAATATGGTACATTTCAAGTCAAGTCATCAAAGCCCTTGCTATTCCTGTGCGCTACTGGTTTAGAGTTACTATTCATAAATAAATATTGATAGTACATTGAGCGAGTATAGAAACAGATGGGGTGGGGGGGTCTGTAAAAGAGAGAGAGGGGGAAGAGAAAGTGAACTGGGGGATTATTTTTTTTTTTAAAAAACACCCCAATTTCCGTGAAAACCAGTTTTAAAAAGCCCTATTTTCACCTATTGCTTTGATCTTGCTAAGTCGGTCCCCAGCTATAGGGATCAGTCTGCAGGGACCCCTGTGCTACCACCACCCAGCTCCCGTCGGCAACCCTTGAGCCTTGCTTCTGATCAACACAATGGAGATGCTCTGGCAGCTGAAGGGGTGACCCTGGAGGGAGCCAACTCCTGCCATCCTGCAGTCACCCAGAGGATGCAACGAGGAGCGCTTGCTGGATGCCACAACCTAGCCAGCCAGAGTGTAAGTCAGCCCCTATCACACCACCTGTCCCTCCCCAACAAGTTAATAAGTAAGTTCCTCCTGTCCTTGACAGCTGTAAGTTGCTCTATGGCTTCACAGCCTTCCTCACAGTCCTGTCCACCTTCCTGCTGTATCACTGAAACTGACTGCAGCAGCAGGTGGTGATGGCAGCCTAGCTCTGCATGGAGCATAAGACACTTCTGGCTTCTTCACCTGTTGCCACCCAGGATCTACAGAGCCCTGCACTTGTTCAGAAGGATCTGGGCACAGCAAGAGAGAGTCTGGTGAAAGTCATCACCATCCCTCCTCCTCCTCTTCTGCCCACTGTGGCTGTTTCTATTCACTGCGTTTCAGGGGCATGCCATACTCCCTTGCAGTGGCTTCTTGCTACGATCCCGTCTGGGCGACCCAATTCTCTCCCCACCAGCCTGGCTGCAACTCACATGCCAGCTACCAAACGTTTCCTGTTTCACACCCTTCTTACCCAACTTTTCTGTCTGTTTCCCACTGTCCAGCCACTGGGGGCAGCGGTTTGCTTCAGAAGACAGAGGCAGATGCTGTGCCACCCTTCAAATCTAAATCAGAAATAAAAGAGAGTTGTCTACCTTTAGCTTCATAGAAAAGATCATTTCAGATGTATCCAACGTGCCTCTGAACGCTTCTCCTAGAGAATAAAGAGCCTCTTTCTGGCTGAACTACTCAAAGCAGCCTTGCCATGCCTACAAGGCAACTACCGCATCACAGAGCATCTCTCTGGTGGAATCAAGAGGATCTCAGAGCCACTACCCGGCCACGTGACCATTGCCAGCTGAGAGCCTGTACCCTGTAGCTGTGCCAGCAGCAGTCTCTACGTTCCATAGATACCAGCAAGTGCATAGGGGCTCTGGAAGATGGCATGCTGCTGGGTACAGGTGAGCAGTGTTACGCTGAGTATTTATTGCACTGCTTCAAAGAGGCAGAGGAGGAACAGGAGAGAGAACGAGCACAAGTCATCGTTTCACTTTAGCATCTTCTTTGATTTTCCAGATCATCAGCTCCATGCAAGCGCTGGCGTCCTCGCTGGAGTCATGACCTTCCACTGGGAATGAGAGACACAAGTGCCACAGTTAGCCACAGCGGGACAGAAGGGACAGGCGTCCTAGGCCCGGCTCCTGGGCACAGATTCTAGAGTACATTAGGGGTCCAGGTTCTATTAGAAGGTGGGGGGATTAACTCAGAGACACTTAATTGGGAGCTAGTGGCCTCAAAAGCCCCTGCAGTTACATCATGAGCATTGCTCTAGTTGCACTGGGGGGGGGAGGAGGGGGAAGAGAGATTCCATGGTTCAAACAGAGAAACAAAGTTGTCGAGTGACAGCTGTTCTACGCTGAGCGTAGCCCATCCTTGGAGCACCTCGTTTCAGAGGGAGGCCTCAGGACGGTCTCCTGGGGGAGTCCAGAGCAAAACGCAGCAGAGACAGTTACACTCTTCAAGGGAAACTCTGAGCTGACAGATGCCAGCGGGAATTTCACCCCCCCGAGAGCAGGGCAGAAGTACCGGGGGGGGGTTATGTGGCTCACGCAGCTGAATTCCTCTGACATCTCAGCACCACCATCCGCTCGCTAGACCCCTCCGCACAAGGAGAAGGCAACTGCTGACACTTGCCTTACAGAAACTGGATGTGGGGCTGGCAGACGCCGCAGAGGAGGAGCGCGCCCTGGAGCCTGCACCCGCCCCATCAGAATGGCCTGACTTTGGCACCAGAACAAGGCTCAGATTGAGGCATTCTGAGCCTGACAAAAGCGGAGGGGTGGAAAGGGTGGTTTAGGACCTGATCTCACCCCTGGCTCCTCAATTCTCCCCTGCCTGAAGGATCAAGAGAAAGCTCTGAAAAACGTCCTACTGCTCCGCCCTGCAAGGTTATTTATGTAGTGCTGAAAACATACAGAGTGCTTAACAACAGCCAGGCCTGAGAGCAAGATCCCTGCTCAAAGGAATTTACAGTCTAGAGGCCCCGATGATGGCTCCCGTGCAGTTAGACAGACACGTGAACATGACTCACTAGCAGGTTTGCTACGTGGGCTTTCAGGAGAGGCGCTGCTGTGCTTTAGTCAGTAGGCTGGTCTCAGCGTGAATGGGGACATGACTTGCAGCTTCGAGACAGGGGAACGAAGAGAAAGATGGCTCAGGAGACGTGGGATCGAGTCCCAGCCCTGCTATAGACTGCCACTAACCTTGGGCAGGTCACTTACTCTCTGTGCCTCGTTTCCCATCTGCAATGCAGGGACAATAACCTTTCCTTCCTCCCACCCTTTGTATCGTCTTGTAAGAGTGAAAGGTGTTTGGGGCAAGGACTGTATGACTAGGAGTTTGCACTGCACCTAGCACAGTGAGGCCCCAATCTCAGCTTGGTGGGGCACACGTGGTGGTAAGGGCAGAAGGGGAGAGAGGAGTGGAGGACCTCGCAGTGTAGGTGGAATTAGATGGGAAAGCAGTGTTCCCGTTTCCCCCGTCTCTGAAGTCTCACCATTGTCCTGGATGATGCGCTTGAGGTAGTCGGCCATCAGCGTCCGGAGTGCTCGTTTGTAAGGCAAACCCAGCCGGTGGGGAAAGACAACTGCAGTATCCACCACTGTGTTATGGATAAGCTGGGGGGGGGGGGGGGGGAGAAAAACAGGGTGGTTTGTTTTCCCTCCTCGGAGCAGTTAGTGCATTAACTGAGATTAACCACACACCCCAGGTAAGACCTCGATCGCCCTCAGGTACCACCTCCACAACACTCCCACCAAACCAGTTCCACAGGCGGCTCTGCCTGAGCTGAACCAAAGTGTCCTGAACAGCACCTTCTGCCAGCCCGGCCAAGGCACTACCTCCTCTCCACGGGCAAAGCGGCTTCTATCCTAGTCTCAACTCAGCCATTAAAACTCCGAGCAACAGGGCAGCTCGTCCATTTAGCCTGGTGCCAGAGACGCGCCCATGCTTCTGGAGGAGGCTTTTCACAGCTTGTTACACAGTCAGAGCAGCTCCTGGAGAGGGGTCCTTTGAAACAGAATGAGCTGTGCTTTGGACCATCCTTGGATTTAACCCATTACCCACCACACCTTTGCACAAGCAGACTCTTGCCGCTTTTAGAGACAGGTCCATTGGTTTCTAAGCTGGGGCTGGGGCTGGGGCTTTGGAAGGGAATCACTTATGAGAGTTTCAAATTAGCTTGAATGGTTCTGTTCCTGCTCTATCTGCAGGTGGATTTAAAGAGGGCTGGATAATCTGATCGCATGTGTTGTTTGTAGGTAATGTAGGATGAGACAGGGTGAGCAGATCCCATGGGCAGAGCACAAGCAAATCACTGCAGAGGCCGGGAAGGAATTTCCTGCCACTCACGTACATAACAGGGGCAGAGAGTTCACTTGCCTCTAGTATCAAGCATTGGCCAAAGCTGGAGTCAGGCTAATGGCTAGATCAGGGGTCGGCCACCTGTCAGAAGTGCTGGGCCGAGTCTTCATTTATTCACTCTGATTTAAGGTTTCGCGTGCCAGTCATACATTTTAACGTTTTTAGAAGGTCTCTTTCTATAAGTTTATAATATAGAACTAAACTATTGTTGTATGTAAAGTAAATAAGGTTTTTAAAACGTTTAAGAAGCTTCATTTAAAATTAAATTAAAATGCAGCGCCCCCCGGACCGGCGGCCAGGACCCAGGCAGTGTGACTGCCACTGAAAATCAGCTCGCGTGCCGCGTTCGGCACACGTGCCATAGGTTGCCTACCCCTGGGCTAGATAGTGGGGTGAGTGCTTCAATCCAGCATGACAGAGCCCATGTGCTTTTAGAACATAAAAACATAAGAAAGGCCGTACCGGGTCAGACCAAAGGTCCATCTAGCCCAGTATCCTGTCTACCGACAGTGGCCAATGCCAGGTGCCCCAGAGGGAGTGAACCTAACAGGCAATGATCAAGTGATCTCTCTCCTGCCATCCATCTCCACCCTCTGACAGACAGAGGCTAGGGACACCATTCCTTACCCGTCCTGGCTAATAGCCATTAATGGATTTAACCACCATGAATTTATCCAGTTCTCTTTTAAACTCTGTTATAGTCCTTTTTAGCCTTCACAACCTCCTCAGGTTGTGAAACAGCATGTGCTTAAATTTGTTGGAGAGCTAACACGTTCATTCTCTGTGCTGGCCAGAGGAGTGTTTAACAGGGGCTATGAAGAAGCCAGGGTGAGAGAGAGGTTAAGTATCATACGGACAGTATAGCCCTGAGACTGAGGTTAATTTGTCCGTCTGGCCAGCGAGGGCGACTCCTGGAGGGCTCTCTTCTTTAGGTTTCTGATTCACGATGCAGGATGAAGTGAACAGGCCTTTGACTCTCCAGCCGCCCGTCTGCCCCTTATTTTGTCTAGGCCCTTGCTAATGTTGCGTGACAACTTGCAACTTCCTCGTTAATCGTTTCATAGCTGAGCTATGGAAATGCTTTAGAACAGCTGCAGTTTAATGGAAACAACCTGCCGCGCTCTTTGAAGTGTAAAACTGCCAAACATTATGGATAATCTCCTCTCTGGCACAGTCAAGTCTGGCATCAGCCCAAGCAGAATAATTACTTATGTAGATCAGGGAGACTGAGGAAAGGGGATAATACAGGTTTAAATATAAAACTGAAATGCTATTGCTATGTGAAGCTTGCTGTGGCCATGATTGGGATGTCTTCTTTACTGCCAGAGCCTTTAGCGATGATGACTTTGCATAGCACTGCCTGTAAAGCTTTGCTGTATTGCTTTTGGGTTTGTTCTCTTGGCAGTTTCTGTGATGCTAAGAGAAAATAATGACTTTAAGAGGCCAACACAGTCATCTTGTGCTGATGAGACCGTAAATGATTTTTTTATTGTGATTACTGATACTTTGAGATCCTGGGAAGGAGGGTGGTATAGAAAGGCAAAGAGCTTACAGGCATGAATGCAGTAAACTTCCCAACACCCCCGTGAGTTAGTAACTATTACCCCTTTATCAAATAGGGCTACATGGATAAAGGATGGTCTTGTGATTTGTGGGCTTGAACCAAGTGCCAATCTGCCAGACTTCCCCTGACCTTGGGGGAGTCACTTCGTCTCTCTGTGTTTCCGTTTCTGTACAGTGGGGCAATGGCCCTGCCCTGCCACACAGGGGAGTGGTGAGGATGAAAGACTGAGGAGCTCAGATCATAGAATCACAGAATCTCAGGGTTGGAAGGGACCTCAGGAAGTCATCTAGTCCCACCCCCTGCTCAAAGCAGGACCAATCCCCAACTAAAGCATCCCAGACAGAGCTTTGTCAAGCCTGACCTTAAAAACCTCTAAGGAAGGAGATTCCATCACCTCCCTAAGTAACCCATTCCAGATGCTATGGTGATGAAGGCCAGAGAAGCACCTTAGGGCTTGTCTATACTCAAAATGCTACAGCAGCACTGCTGCGCCGATACTGTCTATCCGTCGGCATAGGCAACCCACCTCCCTGAGAGGCAGCAGCTCGGTTGACAGGAGAATTCTTCCATCGACCTAGCCCTGTCTACACTGGGGGTAGGGAAGTTTAACTAGACTACTCAGGGTGCGGATTTTTCACACCCCTGAGCGACATAGTTAAGCCAACTTAATTTGCTAGCATAGACCTGGCCCCAGATAGACAGAACGGTTAAAATGATTTGATCAGGGTTACACAGTAAGACAGTGGCAAACCTGGAGCTAGAATCCAGGAGTTCTAGTAGCCAGTCCTCTCCCTCCCGCCCAAAATGCTTACAAAATTAAATAATTTATGTGAATGCAGTCTTGGTTTCAGGAGACAGTTTGACAGGCCAGCCCTCCTCTGGGGTGGTTCCATGACAAGCCTCCAGGGGTAAAAGAGGGGTTTCTCTTTCCACGGCTCATCCAATCCCTGACCGCACTGCTGAGCGCATCAACAAGGGAACAATCTGGGCCACTGGGGATGGTGTTTCTCCTTTCTAATGATGCCTGTCAGCTTAGAGCTCACTCAGGGGCTTAATGGCATACAACCAATCCCCTCCAGCCTCTAACCACTACACCACACTCCACAGCTGCCTCATGGATAGAACAACAGTCTCACAAAGCAACCTCATTCAGTCAGACAGAGCTAGAAGGTATCCTTTGGTACAGATCACTAGTGACTTAAACACTGCTTGTGCCCCTGCTCAACCGATCTGGCAGCCTCCAATGGCTCAGACAAGGCTCTACTGTGATCTTCTTGCTTTCATGAAGGCAAACTCTTTCTGTAATGGTGAAACGGTAAACACAGATTAAAGGAAGGGAAGGAGGGGACAGGGTTTGTTACCTTTAGTGCAAATAAATCACTTTCCAAGCTGTGTCCTATCAAGATCGTGTCTGCGCTGAACATGTTTAATAGAACAGCTTGGACGTCTCGCAGGGTGATGCTTGCGTTCTCCAGGTCCTCCTCCGTCACACCTGAAAACCTGCAGTGCGACAGCAACAGAGGGACTTCTCCTTAGTGGGGCTGAACCTTCCCAGCCCTAGCAACACCCACACATTTGAGGCAATGAAAACTTCCCATTCTCAAAGTTCTCAAGAAGCTTCCAGCCAAGTGATTCAGACCATTGAGACTTGGCGCACGACATGGTGACAGAGGCACCTGCCCCCATTACCGAAACGGCTCTTGTTTAAGACTGCAGTTCTGATGCAGAGGTCCTGGTCTTTGTGGTAATTGTGATTCACGTCTGAGACGCTTGCAGTGGCAGCTCCTTTGCCCTCAGGGCCTTGCGACTTGGCCCACGTGATCACTGGGCCACTCGGGTTTGGTGCATCCGCCCTCCCCCCCCGCCCATAGAAGGAGATGGGCAGGCGGATGCACCAAACTTGAGTAACGTTGTGACCTCATGGGCCAGGTGCAGCCCCACAGGACAGGAGCTGCTGCGGCAGGGTGAGCTCACTCTCCACACCCTTGCAGGACCCCTGTTCCTCCGCTTTCCAAGACACATGCATAGCAAGTAAGTGGCTGGGCTTGAGGGGAAGTCTTCATGCCCTCCGTATGAGAGGACAAGCAGCCACGAATGAGCTTTGCCATTTCAAATTCTAATCATAAGCCACACGCTGCAGAGGCAGCGAACTCAGCTGCTGGGGAGGAATGGCTGGAGGGGACTTGAGAAATGCCTTGTCATCACTTCTCGAGCCAGCTACAGATGGTGCTGACAGGCTAAGGGAGAGAAGCCATGCCGAGAGATCATTGTTGGGCTGCTGAAGTCATTTATTATTCAAAACTCTCCCCAGAAAGCCGAGTCAACAGCCTTTTTAATGGCTCTGGCCATACTCCATCCAGGGGAGGGGTTGCTCTTACCTGGTGTTGTAGTCCACCACTTTGTTGTCAGGTTTGACAAAGGTGTCATAGACCACTTTCAGGTCAGAGTTGATCACGGTTACTCTCGTCAGCTCCAGTCCTTGCTTGGTGTAACACTGTCAACCCCAAACAAGCAAAGAGAGCTGGTCTTAGCATGGTGTTTGCAGTCCAGGTCTTGGTATTTATGTGCCACCCCATTCATGTTAGCACTAGCGTCTCCTGAATTACGACAGTTCTGCGGCTGCATGGCTGGCTGGCATACATTGGCTAACACGGCTATTTTTCAAAAGAAATTTATCATCTTAAGTATGAACAGCAGCTGATCAATTAAAAATACATCTCCCACTAACCCCCAGAATGTTCTGTGACATCATACAGCCAGATAATCACACGGTCTGCCAAAGGAAAAAAAGAAGAGTCTTATTTGATGCTAAATATGGCAGGTGAAGGAGAAGTACCTAGGAGTTGTATATGTACACCATAGCATGGCCTAGAGACAGGCAGGTCTACAGTACGTGATCTCTGGAGCACAGCATCAGGGGAGAATCAGTTATTCATACAGCAAGGTAACCTTCTGGTATAAATATTAATAAGAGTTCCACAAAGAGGATATCTACAATTTATAATCCACTTTTTAAAATAACTTGATACGCAGTGATCCTGAACAGGCTTGCTCTTAATAAACCGTATCAAAAGGATGCTTAAAAGCACTGGATTAGATCATCCTGATCGGTTACATCCTGAGCCCTGGTTCCTCTTGCAAGTGGATTAGAATGTACTGTTCCCACTGCTGATGGATAAGACTCCCACTCAGAGAGTAACTGTTGAACAACATGCAGCATCCCAAGTGCGGCTTTTATTCTTCTGGGAGACTGACAAGCGGAAACAGATCTCTACAGGAGAGCGCTGCAGAGAGCTGCCCTGTTCCACCCCAAGCTTCCCACCGGCCCTATTTCATGTGTATGTTCCCCTTCCAGTTAGGATTTCTGCTCCCGGATACCCACCATTTCACAGTCTAAAGCATAGATCCCTGGATAGCCATTGGTAGTAGGCAGCTTCTCAAAAGTTTTCACAAAACCCTCCAGGTTGTCCTTCCGGCCATCTTGGACATGTTGCTTTAAAAAAGAAATCCACACACACTTGTAAGACAAAAGCAAGTTCCTGAAATCCCATCAGAAGCCAGACACAAAACTCAGAACTAACTTTCCAACAGATCAAATCTCAGATTCAAATTTCTTTACATTTCCAACAATTACAAATGAAGAATAGGATTGGCTGGCAAAAGGTTCCAATCGAGCAGGTACCCTGTAGAAAGGCAGCAATTACACAACAGCCAGCGATTATACAATTGTACAGGAAAATGTTTCATAAAGCAACAAGCGACCAGCTTGGCTTAACAGTGAAATCCCTGCTGATCTTAAACACAAAAAAGAAGCTTACAAGAAGTAGAAGATTGGACAAATGACCAGGGAGGAGTATACAAATATTGCTCAGGCATACAGGAGTGAAATCAGGAAGGTCAAATCACACTTGGAGTTGCAGCTAGCAAGAGATGTTAAGTGTAACAAGAAGGGTTTCTTCAGGTATGTTAGCAACAAGAAGGTGGTCAAGGAAAGTGTGGGCCCCTTACTGAATGAGGGAGGCAACCTAGTGACAGAGAATGTGGAAAAAGCTAATGTACTCAATGCCCTTTTTTTTTTTTGGCCTTTGTCTTCACGAACAAGGTCAGCTCCCAGACTACTCCACTGGGCAGCACAGTATGGGGAGGAGGTGACCAGCCCTCTGTGGAGAAAGAAGAGGTTCAAGACTATTTAGAAAAGCTGGACGAGCACAAGTCGATGGGGCCGGATGCACTGCATCCGAGGGTGCTGGGGGAGTTGGCTGATGTGATTGCAGAGCCATTGGCCATTATCTTTGAAAACTCATGGCGATCAGGGGAGGTCCCAGATGACTGGAAAAAGGCTAATGTAGTGCCCATCTTTAAAAAAGGGAAGGAGGATCCGGGGAACTACAGGACCGTCAGCCTCACTTCAGTCCCTGGAAAAATCATGGAGCAGGTCCTCAAGGAATCCATTTTGAAGCACTTAGAGGAGAGGAAAGTGATCAGGAACAGTCAGCATGGATTCACCAAGGGCAAGTCATGCCTGACTAACCTAATTGCCTTCTATGATGAGATAACTGGCTCTGTGGATGAGGGGAAACCAGTGGACATGTTATTCCTTGACTTCAGCAAAGCTTTTGATACGGTCTCCCACAGTATTCTTGCCAGCAAGTTAAAAAAGTATGGACTGGATGAATGGACTATAAGGTGGATAGAAAGCTGGCTAGATCGTCGGGCTCAACAGGTAGTGATCAATGGCTCGATGTCTAGTTGGCAGCCGGTATCAAGCGGAGTGCCTCAAGGGTCGGTCCTGAGGCCGGTTTTGTTCAATACCTTCATTAATGATCTGGAAGATGGCATGGATTGCACCCTCAGCAAGTGTGCAGATGATACTAAACTGGGAGGAGTGGCAGTTATGCTGGAGGGTAGGGATAGGATACAGAGGGACCTAGACAAATTAGAGGATTGTGCCAAAAGAAATCTGATGAGGTTCAACAAGGACAAGTGCAGAGTCCTGCACTTAGGACGGAAGAATCCCATGCACTGTTACAGACTAGGGACCAAGTGGCTAGGAAGCAGAACAGAACCTAGGGGTTACAGTGGACAAGAAGCTGGATATGAGTCAACGGTGTGTCCTTGTTGCCAAGAAGGCTAACGGCATTTTGGGCTGTATAAGTAGGGGCATTGCCAGCAGAATGAGGGACGTGATCATTCCCCTCTATTCAGCACTGGTGAGGCCTCATCTGGAGTACTGTGTCCAGTTTTGGGCCCCACGCTACAAGAAGGATGTGGAAAAATTGGAAAGAATCCAGCGGAGGGCAACAAAAATGATTAGGGGGCTGGAGCACATGACTTATGAGGAGAGGCTGAGGGAACTGGGATTGTTTAGTCTGCAGAAGAGAAGAATGAGGGGGGATTTGATAGTTGCTTTCAACTACCTGAAGGGGGGTTCCAAAGAGGATGAGCTCGGCTGTTCTCAGTGGTGGCAGATGACAGAACAAGGAGCAATGGTCTCAAGTTGCAGTGGGGGAGGTTTAGGTTGGATATTAGGAAAAACTTTTTCACTAGGAGGGTGGTGAAGCACTGGAATGGGTTACCTAGGGAGGTGGTGGAATCTCCTTCCTTAGAGGTTTTTAAGGTCAGGCTTGACAAAGCCCTGGCTGGGATGATTTAGTTGGGGATTGGTCCTGCTTTGAGCAGGGGGTTGGACTAGATGACTTCCTGAGGTCCCTTCCAACCCGGATATTCTATGATTCTATGAACAATTAGTGCTGTTATACTACAGCAAATACACAAAGCTGAAGGCATGGGGGCAGCAACAGCCTGGAAAAATGCAGGTATTCTGCAGTCTCACGCCACATGGTGATCCACTGCGTCTGATAACTTTACCACTGAGCAGAGAAAGAACTGACAGGAAGCGGATTGCAAACCTGGTCATGTACAACCAGAATCTCACATCCACATGGATCTAGAAGTTCAAGCATCACATCCGTTGCTCACGTTTGAGAGACAAGTTACCTATTCGGGAACAGGTATTAAATGAGGAGGAAACTCTAATAAATAACATTTGCTCTTTCTACTTGAAGAAAAAAAATGTATGCAGGGAAATTCCATAGTGAGCGTCTCATACTGAACCACTCCAGCTTCAGGCTCATTAGATCATCCCTAGAATCCCTTCGATGGCATCATATCCCTATCTTGTATGGCTACCTAGTCTCGATCTTCTCGATTTAAAGCTATGCATAACATATAAAGAGCCAATGAGAGGAGCATTCCAGGTATAAGGGAGTACAAGAAAATCAAGATAGTGTGCTCAGTCAGTGCAAATAAGTTACCTTACTCCAAAACCAGGCCATGCAGACAAACGCACAGAAACACTGACCACATGAAAAGCAAAGAGCTACTGCCTTCCGTTTATCTTCTGGGCCTTATGAGCAAATTTCCAAAGTGTTAAATTATTGTCCCATTATAAAGCAATAACCTTATTCTGAACTAAAGCTCTAAGATCAAGGAGTTTTAGCCCAGAATACAGTTATTACTGAGTTAGCAGGAAACACCCTCCCTCAAATTATATTGACATGAACATAAGAACAGCCAGGGTCAGACCAAAGATCCATCTAGCCCAGTATCCTGTCTTCCAACAGTGGCAAATGCCAGGTGCCCCAGAGGGAATGAACGGAACAGGAAATCACCAAGTGATCCATCCCCTGTCGCCCATTCCCAGCTTCTAGCAAACAGAGGCTAGGGACACTATCCCTGCCCATCCTGGCTAATAGTCATTGATGGACCTATCCTCCAGGAACTTATCTAGTTCTTTTTTGAACCCTGTTATAGTCTTGGCCTTCACAACATCCTCTGGCAAGGAGTTCCACAGGTTGACTGTGCGTTGTGTGAAAAAATACTTACTTTTGTTTGAACCTGCTGCCTGTTAATTTCATTTGGTGACCCCTAGTTCTTGTGTTATGAGAAGGAGTAAATAACACTTCCTTATTTACTTTCTCCACACCAGTCATGATTTTATAAACCTCTATCATATCCCCCCTTAGTCGTCTCTTTTCCAAGATGAAAAGTCCCAGCCTTATTAATCTCTCCTCATACGGAAGCTGTTCCATACCCCTAATCATTTTTGTTGCCCTTTTCTGAACCTTTTCCAATTCCAATATATCTTTTTTGAGATGGGGCGACCACATCTGCACGCAGTATTCAAGATGTGGGGGTACCATGGATTTATATAGAGGCAATATGATATTTTCTGTCTTGTTATCTATCCCTTTCTTAATGATTCTCAACATTCTGTTCGCTTTTTTGACTGTCGCTGCACATTGAGAGGATGTTTTCAGAGAACTACCCACAATGACTCCAAGATCTCTTTCCTGAGTGGTAACAGCTAATTTAGACCCCATCATTTTATACGAATAGTTGGGATTATCGTTTCCAATGTGCATTACTTTGCATTTATCAACATTGAATTTCATCTGCCATTTTGTTGCCCAGTCACCCAGTTTTGTGAGATCCTTTTGTAGCTCTTCATAGTCTGCCTGGGACTTAACTATCTTGAGTAGTTTTGTATCATCTGCAAGCAAATTTTGCCACCTCACTTTTTAACCCTTTTTCCGTATTTATGAATATGTTGAATAGGACTGGTCCAAGTACAGACCCCTGAGGGACACCATTATTTACCTCTCTCCATTCTGAAAACTGATCATTTATTCCTATCCTTTGTTTCCTATCTTTTAACCAGTTACCAATCCATGAGAAGACCTTCCCTCTTATCCCATGACAGCTTACTTTGCTTAAGAGCCTTTGGTGAAGAACCTCATCAAAGGCTTTCTGAAAATCTAAGTACACTATATCCACTGGATCCCCCTTGTCCACATGCTTGTTGACCCCCCTCAAAGAATTGGTAAGGCATGATTTCCCTTTACAAAAACCATGTTGACTCTTCCCCAACAATTTATGTTCATCTACGTGTCTGACAATTTTGTTCTTTACTATAGTTTCAACCAGTTTGCCCGGTACGGAAGTCAGGCTTACCGGCCTGTAATTGCCGAAATCACCTCTGGAGCCCTTTAAAAAAATTGGCGTCACATTAGCTATCCTTCAGTCATTTGGAACAGAAGCTGATTTAAATGATAGGTTAACAAACTACAGTTAGTAGTTCTGCAATTTCACATCTGAGTTCCTTCAGAACTCTTGGGTGAATACCATCTGGTCCTGGTGACTTATTACTGTTTAGTTTATCAATTTGTTCCAAAACCACCTCTAATGACACCTCAATCTGGGACAGTTCCTCTAATTTGTCACCTAAAAAGAATGGCCCAGGTTTGGGAATCTCCCTCACATACTCAGCCGTGAAGACCGATGCAAAGAATTCATTTAGTTTCTCTGCAATGGCCTTATCGTCCTTGAGTGCTCCTTTAGCATCTCGATCGTCCAGAGGCCCCACTGGTTGTTTAGCAGTCCTGCCTGCTTCTGATGTACTTACAAAAATGTTTGCTACTGCTTTTTGAGTCTTTGGCTAACTGTTCTTCAAATTCTTTTTTGGCCTTCCTAATTATATTTTTACACTTCATTTGCCAGAGTCTATGCTCCTTTCTATTTTCCTCACTAGGATTTAACTTCCACTTTTTAAAGGATGCCTTTTGGTCTCTCACTGCTTCTTTTACTTTGTTGTTTAGCCACAATGGCACTTTTTTGGTTCTCTTACAATGTTTTTTAATTTGGGGGATACATTTAAGTTGAGCCTCTATTATGATGTCTTTAAAAAGTTTCCATGCAGCTTGCAGGGATTTCACTTTTGGCGCTGCACCTTTTAATGTCTATTTAACTAACTTCCTCATTTTTGTGTAGTCCCCCTTTCTGAAATTAAATACTACAGTGTCGGGCTGCTGTGGAGTTTTCCCCCGGCACAGAGATGCCAACTTTAATTATATTATGTTCACTATTACCAAGTCGTCGAGCTATATTCACCCCTTGGACCAGACCCTGTGCTGCACTTAGGACTAAATCAAGAATTGCCTCTCCTCGTGTGGGTTCCAGGACTAGCTGCTCCAAGACCAGTCATTTAAGGTGTCAAGAAACTTTATCTCTGCATCCTGTCCTGAGGTGACATGTATCCAGTCAATATGGGGAGTTTTTATTTTTATAGCCTCTCTAATCTCCCTGAGGATTTCACAGTCACTATCACCATCCTGGTCAGGTGGTCGGTAATATATCCCTACTGCTATATTCTTATTATTAGAGTATGGAATTATTATCCATAGGGATTCTATGGTACAGTTTGGCTTCATTTAAGATTTTTACTTCATTTGATTCTATGCTTTCTTTCACACATAGTGCCACTCCCCCACTAGCACGACCTGTTCTGTTCTTCTGATATATTTTGTACCCTGGTATTACTGTGTCCCACTGATTATCCTCATTCCACCAAGTTTCTGTGATGCCTATTATATCAATATCCTCATTTAATACGAGGCACTCTAGTTCACCTATATTATCTAGACTTCTAGCATTTGTATATAAGCACTTTAAAAACTTGTCACTTTTTAGCTGTCTGCCATTACATGATGTAATTGAATGGGCCTCTTTTTTATTTGACTGTTTCTCATCAGATCCTACCCATTTTATCATTTTCCATCCTCTCCTCCTTACTAGGACATAGAGAATCTCCATTAATATATCCTCCCCTAAAGGATGCCTCTGTCTGAACCATGTGCTCCTCCTGTCGGCTTTCCTCCAGCCCTTAGTTTAAAAGCTGCTCTACGACCTTTTTAATTTTAAGTGCCAGCAATCTGGTTCCATTTTGGTTTAGGTGGAGCCCATCCTTCCTGTATAGGCTCTCCCTTTCCCAAAAGTTTCCCCAGTTCCCTAATAAATCTAAACCTCTCCTCCCTACTCCATTGTCTCATCCACGCATTGAGACCCTGCAGTTCTGCCTGTCTAAGTGACCCTGTGCGTGGAACTGGAAGCATTTCAGAAAATGCTACCATGGAGGTCCTGGACTTCAAACTCTTATGTAGCAGCCTAAATTTGGCCTCCAGGACCTCTCTCCTATCCTTCCCTATGTCATTGGTACGTACAAGTACCATGACCACCGGCTCCTCCCCAGCACTGCACATAAAGTATAGCTAGAAGTCTTGAGAGATCCGCAACCTTTGCACCAGGCAGGCACGTCACCATGAGGCTCTCCTGGTCATTGCAAACCCAGCTATTTATGATTGAATCCCCCCACAACTATTACCTGTCTCTTCCTAATAACTGGAGTTCCCTGCCCCGGAGAGGTACCCTCAGTGCGAGAGGATACCACGACATCATCTGGAAGGATGATCCCAACTATGGGATCGTTTCCCTCTGCTCCAGTTAGATGGTCTCCTTTCCTTTTATCCTCTTCAACAGCACAGAGGCTGTCAGACCAGGGGTGGGACTGTTCTTCTGCATCCTGGAAAGTCTCATCTATGTTCTTCCCATTCTCAGTTGGCTTCTGTAATTTACTAAGCTCTGCCTGGCTACCACCCTCAACTCTCCAGCTACATGCCCACAACCAACACGGCTGCCTCAATACCTCATCTCCTCCATACACCAACGCACCTCACTTGTCTCCGGCTCCTCCTTGTCCCATAAGGAAATAAATTACATCTGGCACTAGGTTTGGTGACTGGGTACGGAGAGTTAGAAGTCAAGGTGGCTGCATAGATGAAGAGATCCAAAGGCAGTAGGCTAATCAAAGCAGATGTTTAAAAGGTACCCAATAAAGGCAGAGAGAGTTGCATATTTGCATAAACAAGTGATTACTGCAAATCAGACATGCCCACAGTGCAGGAAACTGCATGAATGGGAATGAACTATGCTGTGCATCAGTGACTGTACAGCAGCCCCGCGTTGCCAAAATTTCTCCTCAGTATCTGTTTCTTCAAAGCCAACACTATTCCTGTGTACAATAGCTCAACCATTTCCATGCAGTCAATGGCCAGACCTGCCAGCACTGCATCTGTGCACACATATCAGGTTTCTTTTGCTAAGAAATGGGAGGATGCAGATACTTACCAAGACTGGTCATTGGGTATCAAGTGGGTTTTTCCTCCCTCAACTAGGGCTGCAATATGACTGGGGTCAGTAAAATAACCTAACAGATATGCTGGGACCACTGATAGCTAATGGCTGTCTGACTGTGTCACTTGGGAGTTTACTGCTCCATGCTCTCTTACCTCCAGTGTTTAGATGGCGAGGAGAACCAGCCCTCAACAGTTACTGTGAAGTACAGCAGTTCCAGATGCACATTTCTAGGAAAGCTAAAGTCATCTGTGCAGCTACAGTCTGCCATCTGCTGTTAGCTTTGCTAATTGCAATGCAGCTCAGGGCCTGTGCATCTCAAGTATGTTTGGCAGGAAAAGACGTAGACATTTCGCTAGGGCGAAGAACAGCCAAATATCCCATTCATAGTGCCTTGGCTACAGCTATTTGTTGTTTACAATGCCTGCCTTCAGGGCTGCTGAGATGAGCTCTCTTCCCTCTCCTTCCAAACACGCACATTCTACTTTCCCTATCACACGCCTGCTGGGGGATCACAGATACTGGCTCTGCCGTCAAGGGATGCTGTGAAAACTCACCCACTTTGATAGAAAACAGAAAAGAGATTATTGTTGTGTGGCAATAGTACAATAGCAACCAGGAGATGGCGGTTGCAGGAGGATGCCTCAACCCCAGAGAGCCCCGTAGCAAGCTTCATGGAATAAGAGGCTACTAGGGAGAGTGAATATTTCTTGAAAGGCTGTGAATTTTTATGGCTTAAGATGGCCTCAGACAGCAGTACAGAAGCCTTCAGGGAAGTCATGTTTCTATAACTTCTTGTCAAGGTCTTCTGACTTAGTTGGATGATTTAGTAGGGGTTGGTCCTGCTTTGAGCAGGGGGTTGGACTAGATGACCTGCTAAGGTCCGTTCCAACCCTGATATTCTGATTCTATGACTTCCCCCCATTGTATTTTTCCTTAGAACACTGTCAGATATAACCGATGATTAAAAAACATTGTCTCTTTTCTACTATGTGAGTAATAATAAATTAGAAAGAGCAAAAGCCTAGTAAATCTAGTCTCTGCCCTGAGGGCCAGGGCAGGATAATTCTGTACAGTACACACCCCTGAAGCCTTTTCTGTTTTACAAAACCTTGAGTTTGACAGCTGCCCTCGTACTTCCTGGCATCAAATATGGCTGCCTTTTGTTTGTTTGTCCTTTGCAAGCGCCAGAGTCAGGTTAACAGGATGTACAGACCTCTCCAGTCATTACTTCATCATTGCTGCTGGGCCAGCCAAGGGCCTCAAAAACAGGGCGGGAGAAAATGAGCTCTATTGCTACAGATTTTTAAAGACATGGGGCATATCAGACATTTTGAAGTTGACTAAATTTGGGGCCCAATAAAACTCCTTCTGTGTTCCCTCTTGCTTGTTCTACATCATGTTTCTTTGTCTGGAAAGAAAATATCTAGCAACAAGAAAGTACAGAGAAGCCAGTGAAGCAAATGATTGAGAAGCAGCTCAGCAGACCCAAGGGGAGGAGCTGATGGGACAGGGGTGCTCGCTTTAGACAGTCATTCATTCCCAAGACTGGTCCTATGCCAGGGCTAGGATTCCAGTTAAAAGTTGCACATAGAAAGAGAGGCACCTTTTACCAACTAAGCATTTGGGAGCAACACTCCGCTCCCTGGAGCAAGAGACCAGAGCTCGATTCCTGAGCTGGTTTCTTACCCACTTGGATTTCAGGTGCTAGAATCACTTACAGTTGCTGCGCCCCCAAGATCTGAGCAGCATTTATGGGTTCCAAAGGGACTCTCCCATCCAGTACTTTCCCAGAAGGGGGGGAGCATTGAGCACTGATATGGAGGAGGACAGAACAAGCCAGGGTAATGAAAGTGCCCTGTAGAGGGAAGAAAACCCCATACTCCCCACCCCCAAACCAAGAGTGGCTTTTATAGGCGTGTGAGGAAGGGAAGGCCAAGGGAAAATCTGTGAGAGACACTAGTTCTGTCTAGACTGCTTTGTGCCACGTAGCTGTTTCCAAGCATCAGTAATAGCAGTGATTGTACTTGTAGCTCGAGTGCACCAACCTTCTCGGCCTCCCTTTTACTATAGCTCTAACACCCCCTAAAGGCAGACCAGATCTTAACTCCTTGAGGGTGTCATGCATGATGGTTTGCCTGGAATCATTCAGTCAAATTCCAGGCAGAAACCCCTCTCTCGCCACATGATTTTTTTAAAGAACATTTCCAACCTTTTAATAACTGAATATGTTGAATATATAATCGCTTTTCCCAAAGAAACCAGTGAGTCTTTTGAAAGCGCACACAAGACAGTAAGCGACAGATCATCAGGGTCATGGAGAGGAAAAAAAGCACAACTTACTTTGGCCACCTGGCATCCTGGTGAACCCACAGCTCCTGAACAGCAGCTGTAGTGTGTTTCCCAGCCCCCCGGCACTGAAATGGCAAGAGACGAGAGTCAGACATCGGAGATAGCAAGGAACCCTGTTAACTCAAGGGTACATCTACACAGCAGCCAGGAGGTGTAACTCCCGATTTGGGGAGGCAGACACATGCTAGATCTGCTTGAGCTAGCGCCTAAAAAGAAAGGTGCGGCCACAGTGGCACGGGCGGCAGTTCGAGGTAGCCACCTGAGTACAATCCCACGCGACTCCCTGGGCGCGTGCTTGGATGTCTACCCCGTGGTGCTGCCGTGACCACGCTGCTGTTTTTAGGCACTAGCTGGAGCCGAACTAGAGTGTGCATGTCTACCTGAGCTGGGCATTAGGCCTCCCGGCTGCTGTGTAGACGCGACGCAATGCTTTCAGGATCACTCGCTAAAATTTCTAGAGCAGTTAAAGGAAAAGATTGAGGAGTGAAGTCCCCAAACCTAGAGGGTTCAAGTGTTCCCCTGCCAGCCAGTCCGAACCAAGCTCAGCAGCAGGGTGTCAGAGCGCCAGGTAGGCTTTGGAGCTCTGTTGTGGATCTGGTTAGCTTGCGAAACAGGCATGGATGACAAAGGCTCTGTGTGCAAAGGGATATTTTGAAAGCTACAGCAAAGATTCAAATTAGGAAGGCCTCTCTCTGGGAAAGAATTCAATTGAAAACACTGTGCTCTTTGGGGCAGTGACCACTACCCTGTATTGTTCACATAGCGCCTTATAAACAAAGGACGCCGACTGGGGCCTCAGGAAGCTACTGTAATAACAGTAAGACTGATTCAGTAGATACAAGTAATCCATCGGGGACCAGCATTATTTCTTAATAGATCTTATTTTCACCCATCGGTTCTCCTTCCAACAGTTACTCATTCTAGAGATATAACTATCTCGAGACCTGGCTAGTGCATCCTTCTGCTATACACTGCCCCCCACCTGCCTTCTAGAAAGGAAATTAGCTTAAAGGCAGAATCCCACGCACAATACTGAGCAGCTTGTTGATCCAGCGAGTCGGCTCTGCCCCCACCAGTACAGTACATGCCTTTGCACTGACTCCCAACAGATTAAAATCATTTTTAGAGTTGGCCTGACTCTATTTTGAAAGCCCTCAAGCCATTATCCTAAAAGTTTTTCCTAACGTCTTACCTAAATCTCCCTTGCTGCAATTTAAGCCCACTGGCGGCGGTGAAGGAAAACAATTTATCACCCTCCTCTTTATAACAACCTGTTACATACTTGAAGACTGTTATCAAGTTCCCCCACAAACTCAATTTTTTCAATCTTTCCTCGTAGATCATGATTTCTAGACCTTTAATCACTGTTCTTGCTCTCCTCTGGACTTTCTCCAATTTGTCCACATCTTTGCCAAAGTGTGGTGCCCAGAACTGGACCCAGTACTCCAGCTGAGGCCCTATCAGTGCTGAGTAGAGTGGAAGAATTATTTCTTTAAATTAAATCTTTGCTACGGCTGCAACATTACATTTCATGGATCACACCACCGCCTGCTAACATTGTGTTTTGCCAAGTCCACTCTTTTGTAATGTGTTGCGCCACCAAGTGGCAAAATTACATACTGACAATTTGCAGCTACAGTGCACAACTTTGGTGAAACCCACCGAAAACAAAAAAATGACAAAGCACAAAAACAAATTGGCTTCTGTAGTGATTCAAGTTTAATAACAGGTCAGATGTTAAATGGCAAAGTGCAGCTAATGTTTTGCTGACACCTTCATCAGAGACCTTACCTCGCTGCTTGCGTAGCCTTCCCCAGTGATGGAGACACTCCTCTTTGCGAATGCAGTTTCCAGATGCTGAGACCATGTATTCAGTACCACAGCGGCAGCAAACCCTGCATGAAGCTTTAAAACAAGGGGAGTTAGCTCACTGGAAAGTCTACATTTCAGCCAGTTTAAACAGGGCAATCAGTAAGTTAAACTTGTTCCTATTTCCAATGTCAAAAAGAAACAGGAGAGAGCTTTGCCTAGTGTTTAGAGCAGGGAAGACTGGGAATGAGGATGCTAGAATTCATATGCCCCATCAAAGGAGGTGACCTTGTGAAATTCAGTCTCTTAGAAACTACTATATATATGTGTGTGTGTGTGTGTGTGTGTGTGTGTGTGTGTGTGTGTACACACACACACACACACACCATGGCTAAGCCAACTTTGCAGCTGAAACGTTAACCAATTTTCCTGAATCTTGCTGGAATTCTCAACCTTAACGCTGCATTAATGTTTAGGTTTTGCATTTAATTTCCCTGATTTCACAAAAAAGAAAAAATGTAAACATGAAAAATGTCGCTTTAGTACCGTGGCCTGTGTTCAGATGGCCATAAGCATGGATGGGCACTCAAAACCAAAGCGCGTGCCGAACACTCAAGCCACTTTAGAAACTGCATAGCACAAAGATGGAGAAAGGTAGTAACAGCACATGTGACCATCATGATTCTGAAGTTCCTAAAACTTTATAAATATTGAACCAATTTTCTTCAAACTCAGCTTGCATTCTTCCCTTATTGCAAGCTGTAAAACAAGCCTTGTTTGAATCTTCTAAGTAACAGGCATTTGAAAGCACAAAGTCTCCAATTAGAATATACAGGGAAAAATTAGTATTTCTCCCACCCTGGTCTCATCAGTCAAAAGGGGGTCAAACTTATCAAAAAAAAGTAATCTTGGGCTGAGACTAAGTATTGTAAGTTTCAGCTCAAGAGGAATTTGAAAAAGTTAAAAACAACTAAAAAGGGGGTGGAGGAGAGAAAAAGTTTAGAATGGAAACTGGAACACAGTCTTAACTGTTGCATTTCCTACTAAAAATGCTGTAACACTTTTGCAGGCATAGGGAAATGCAGCTCCCTCTGGGGTGAAACGTGACACTAACAGCACACCACAAACTAACGCCAGAATAGAACTTCACAGGGTATTTAGGATAAGCACAACGTGAATTTCACCATTTGGAACTTGGCCCAAATCCCTGGAATATTACTACCCCTGCTCTTTCCAAAAATGTACCATAGGATCGTTAATGACAAGAAGTGATAAAACAATCAGTTTTGTGCATCACCTGAAAGGAAGAATGCCCAAAAACAGAGTACTGGGTGATTTTCTGTTGTGTTTTCTGCATTGTTCACTATTAAAAGACTACAAGGGAGATTCCAAAACCAAAAAGTTGATAGCAAGACCTCTAACCTCAATACAATAATTCCTTGCATTCTAGTCTGAACAATTTTCCCAAAAGCACAGTATGATTTTAGCTAACAGGTCTGTACAGCCTGCGTGTCCTACTTATCTACTTTATATTTTCACTCAATAGGTTGTAATAACATAATGATGTATGTTTCCAATGGCTTAAGTTACTGACGGCATCAAAACCAAAGCTCCCAATACACCTGCAAGAAGCTGCAGATACACACTAGGTACTATGAACTCTGGACTACGTGAGGGTAGGTGACTGGTCAGCTCAGAAGACAAAGCATTTAACAAATACAGTACCTGACAGCATTAAAGCCAACAAACTTCAATGCAGGATGCAAAAGTATTCACAGTACAAAAGTGGATGCAAGGTGTTAAATGGATGAATACTTAACACGCTTTAGCCAGCTATCCCTCCATAACCAAATGACTGACTCCGCTGAACAAGATACCTCAAGTCCCATTTTTGCTCTTAAAAATTCTGATAATGCATTTATATTTTTCACTTTGGCCTGACATTTTACTCAATCTATAGGACTCTGGTCTCCTCTTAGTTTAAAAAGAAGAAGTTTAAGTCCTCCGAATGAACACCATTTTTCAGAAAATCAGATCCACTGCTTATTAAAGGGCCTTTAAACTTATGTGTATTGGCACGCAAGTGTCAGATTTGAAAACTGCACTATTCTAAATCATGCTGCAGTGTTATTGGGGACCCAATCAGGCACCTCCTGCGGTTTATTAAACCACCAAAGCAGTTCATGGGAGCTACAGCTGTTTGAGTCCTAGAGTATGTCTCCCTCAATTCCCTTGGACATGAACTTGGTTTTCAGTGCCCACATGGGAACCCCTTAGGCAGCTCCATGAAAGGCTCTTTGTGAAACAATTTTGTCATTTGCCTTCCTCAGGGATGGCCTGCAAGCTCTGGGATATTTTGAATTCCAACCAGAGAGGTTCACTATTTCTGGAGTGTGAAGCAGACAGGTAGCTCAGGGGACCTACGGGACGAGAGGAAGGCCAAGTGGGAACTCAATTAAAACGTGCTCCACCCTAATGCTGAGGTCTAGATACTTGTTCCCCAAAACACAGAACCTTTGCTGCCCTCAGGATTGACAAAACACCAGCCAAAGCTGCATGTCAAATCAGACACCGACATATGCTAATCCCCGAGGAGCGAAAAAATTTTTAAATTTTTTTAGGTTTATAACCCAGTAGTGCTCCACGACGCAGTGGAGAACAAGTGACTGCAATCCTGGCCATCTCCTCTGAGGACATGTGAGTCAGTGGGCCTAGGAAGGGATACCAAAAGATTCTTGCCGCTGACAGCAGCTAGAACCACCATACAAGGCATATGAAGCTGTGGTGAGGCCAAAGGGCACACACCCTATAGTGAAAATAGCTCTCGAGGACATGAAGCCTTAGAAACCTCTGGTTCATCAGAACGATAGGGAGTCATTTGCAGCCACCCTCATGTTCAGTCTGAAGGGGCAGCCTGCAGAGACACTGGGTCCCAGCATACGAAGTTCTATCCTGATGAAAGCGAATGACCACATGCTGGGATCTGCAGAGTCCTCAGGCTGCACCTTCAAGGGTGGCTGCAGGCGGCATGGGGCATACAGGCTGTACATTGGATAAGAAACCTTCCTGACCACAATAGCCAGCGGAGCTTACAGTCAGGCGTTTTCTTCTCTTCCACAGTGAAAACGACAGCACGGCCGGCTTTCTCTGGATGTGGCATTGGGTAACCATTTTCCTTCAACTGCTCTTCCGTCAGGAGATATTCCTTCAGTCTTCTGTACAAAGCAGCTCCTAGGTACCAAAGGAAATGCTGATGTCACAACACTGAAGCAGCAGGAATACCAATCATTTTCTACGCAGCAGCCGTGCTGCTCATCACATCTCACATAGAGAGTCCCGTTGTCTCAAACCTGCTTCTACATCTTCTATTCAGTATTTAAACAATTCTAAGTCAAGGGAAATAGACTCCAAGGCAACACTGGGCACGTACATATATGACCTGATTTGTAGAGTTGTTCAGCAACTAATTTTAGGCACCTATGTCTCAAAATTTTGGCCTAGAACTGTTAAGGCATTCCAAAATGGAATTCCTCTGAAGGGTCAGACTTCAGAACATCTCAGTGGCTAGATTGTACACTTGGGAGCTTGATACATTATTTCAATCTTTAAAATGTTTTCACCATGGTTAAGTGTGTCAAGCGACATGCCTTCCACCACATCCCTTGGGAGACTACTCACAGCCATCTAAGATCTTGCTCTCAGGAGTTTTTTCCTTATATTCAGCCTAGGTTTTCTTTTTGTTAATTTCATTCCATTATGCCTAGTTATAACTCCTTGCACCACACTCAGTAACTCCCCTCTATGCTTTGTGTTTACACCCTTCAAATACTTGAAGACTGGTGTGTTTCCTTTTGATGTTCATAGAATCATAGAAGATTAGGGTTGGAAGAGACCTCAGGAGGTCATCTAGTCCAATCCCCTGCTCAAAGCAAGACCAACACCAACTAAATCATCCCAGCCAGGGCTTTGTCAAGCCAGGCCTTAAAAACGTCTGAGGATGGAGATTCCACCACCTCCCTAGGGAACCCATTCCAGTGCTTCACCACCCTCCTAGTGAAATAGTTTTTCCTAATAGCCAACCTAGACCTCTCCCACTGCAACTTGAGACCATTGCTCCTTGTTCTGTCATCTGCCACCACTGAGAACAGCCTAGCTCCATCCTCTTTGGAACCCCCCTTCAGGTAGTTGAAGGCTGCTATCAAATCCCCCTTCACTCGTCTCTTCTGCAGACTAAACAATCTCAGTTCCCTCAGCCTCTCCTCATAAGTCATGTGTCCCAGCCCCCTAATCATTTTTGTTGCCCTCCACTGGACTCTCCAATTTGTCCACATCTTTTCTGTAGTGGGGGGCCCAAAACTGGACACAATACTCCAGATGTGGCCTCACCAGTGCCGAGTAGAGGGGAATAACCACTTCCCTCGATCTGCTGGCAATGCTCCTACTAATGTAGCCCAATATGCCGTTAGCCTTCTTGGCAAAGAGGACGCTCTGTTGCTTACCTGAGCTACACAGATCCATTTAAGCTTTCCTCATATGTCAATCCCTCCAGCCCCTTAGTAGTTTTTGTGGCTCTTCTCTGATCTCCCCAACAGCCTGTCTACTGCACATCTCTTGGCAACTGAGATGTGCACAACCGATTCGACCCAACAACGATAATGCCGGTGGCACAATCCTTTGCATACAATTGGACCCTTTAGTACAATGTTGGTAAACCATTTGAAAGAGAGCCCCTACAGAACATATGGAGGCATATTAACACTTAATACAGACAATCTCCCCTTACGGCGATGGACCCAAAATAACCACATGCAAAGCACACCTTCTGGGGCAGGAAGGCAAAAGCAACCCCCAGTGCTGGAAATGGCAAGTCAGTGATATGGAGCATCCAAAAGGCATCTGCAAATCCAAACACATCAAACGAGTTTTCTGACCACCTGTTGATGTTACATCAAAACCATATGGGCTTGATTAATGAACTCACCTCAAAGGTACGGCCCAGAAGAGGGAGGGCAGCTAGAGTGCACATCAGCCAGAGGTGGACTCCTTTTTCCTCAAGGGCTAGGGGTGGATGCCAAACATGCCACTGGAGTGAACGAGCCTGCAGCTCTTATATAGACTTCAGCACCCAGGATAGGTTTTGCACCGTTCGGTAAGTGATAACGTGCAAAGCTTTGACCCGACGAAGAAGTCACATGGCTTCATGGATCAGCAAGATGCCGCCCTTCCCTTTTCCAGCTATGTTATACTCTCACCGCTGACTTGCGAGATATGGAACTAGAGAAAAAGGGACTTACCTGTCAAGTCCTCCGCCCGCAAGTTCCCTGACTGGTTTAGCGTAAAGCTGGTCTTAGCAGCGAGTTTCCCTCCTAGCACAGCTTCGTGGGACACCACCTTCCTGTTACTGGTCTCTGCCGTGAGGGGAGAAGAGAAACAGGAACAATAAAGGATCAAATCCGCAGCTGCCACCTTTTGACAGTAGAGTCTTTATTCCAGGGGTTTGGGGCACAACACACAGAGGGAAGCTGGGGTACAGACAGGTTGGGTAGCTGGAAAAAGGATGGTTCGGTTTACTCTCTTGGAATTTCTACTTCAGGAGCTGGAATTTGTTTGATGCTTTCAGGGCTGGCCTGTTCACTGGAATACTCCTATCGGTCACAGGAAAACTGCTGCCTACACTGTCAGCCTACTGTGGTTTTCCCAGGGGCAGCCAGGATATCTGTACAATTCTACAGTATACTCCCGGTAGCCGCCTGCTCGCTGCTCTATACCATGCAATCCTGTGCGATAGGATAGCACAATCTTGTTTGCATACAGGGGACATTGCAGCCATGCTGCAGGCTTTATTTCAGCCACGGGAACCATGACCTCTTCTGCTGCACAGCATTCCCATTTGGTGGAAACACGCCACGAGTAAAAGTGGGCAATGCGGAGAAGAGAACCCACTACAGCAGCTGTGTAGCTAGGAAAACGAGGCTGTTTCCTGGAAAAGCTCCCGAGCAGGGAGGAGAGGAAGAATTCATCTCTGCAGCATTTCTGCCAAAGACACCCCCCACCTCCTTTGCTGACAAACGACATCGCCATGGCCCACCAAGAGGGCCAAAGCCACTCCACAGCATGCAGCTCCACCACCAAGTCCCTGCTGACCAGACTTCCACACTGAGGTCTTGTCTACACTTACCAGGGGATCCACGAGCGGCGATCGATGCATCGGCGGTCGATTTAGCGGGTCTAGTGAAGACCCGCTAAATCAATAACAGATCGCTGTCCCGTCGACTCCTGTACTCCACCGGATCGAGAAGAGTAGGGGGAGTCGACGGGAGACATCGCGTAGTGTGGACCCCGCGGTAAGTAGATCTAAGCTACGTTGATTTGAGTTCGCTATTCATGTAGCTTAGATCCAATTTCCCCTGTAGTGTAGACAAGGCCTGAATCTTTCACCCTTCTTAAAAAAGAACCTCACCGCCTGGGAATATGTGCAACACATTAGAGAATGGTTCACAGGTGCTTTTTACTAATCATTAACTGGCAGCTCTCCAAAAGGACAGCCTCCCAAAGTTCAGCCTGGCTGACTAATGGCTGTGAAAGTAATGGGGGGGGAGTGAAGGGAGGGGGCTGAGATCAGAAATTTTTTTCACAAGAACAGCACAAATTGATTGTTTAATGTACCCTCTCGAGAGCCAATAATGAAATGTCTTAACCCTCTTCTTTTCTCTCTTGAAGCTTAATGCGTGTAACAGATTTCTGTGGTGATGGACGAGTCTCTCACTTTGAAGGCACCATGTGAAAGTTACTCCATTAGCAGGATTTTTCATTTTAAAGAACTTGTGCTTAAAAAAAAAACCCCATCCTCATGGCATTATCTCCATTTAGGTATAGACAGCCAACAAAGCATTGCAGGATTTTCCTCTTGAGGAGATCTATTAAAGTTTGCAAGGCTATAAAGCTAACTCGAGTTGCTTGCCTTTCAAGCCTAATGCATCTGAGAAATGGCTCTGTCTTTTCAATGTGTTTCACTCTGCTGCCTCTAATCCCATCATGGTTTTGGATCTGAAAATCCACAGTGCAGTACGTACTGTTTACACAAGGCAGGGAATTGGGCACTAGACTTCTTAGCTTCTTTAACGTATTCACTGCCACATTCAGGTAGATGTTCCGGCTGGTACTGCGTTCATAAGCCATCTTCTCCTCCGATAGAGCCTGCAAATAATGTAGTTTGTTACCACCTGCTCCTTTAGCGCGTTCGATTTTAGTTGTGAGAGAGAGCGTGAGTCTTCTTGAACACAGTACCCTCAAAGTGATTGTCCATACAACTGGCACCAACAAAGGGTTTCAGAAGCAATGTGCCAAGATACAAGGCAAGAGACACTAGTTCAGAAACTGTCTTGGGTCCTCCTACTTGTGGGGTAACAGTGTTAACAGCAGGTCATGGAGGGGATGCATTTGAACTCTAGCTAGATTCACAGCGCAGCCCTGGACACTGTCTTAGTAAAAATTGCTCACTGGTCCTCCTGCAGCAGCATGAAAGCACAGAGGTATGAAGCAGGCAAAAAGGGAGGTTATCCAGAATGGCAGATAAGAACCCATTCACCCTCAGAACCACGCCCTGGTTGCAATAGGAACATTTCCTACTGGGAGTGGGAAAGGGGAGATGCCACAAGAAAAATCCTCAGAGTTGGTTTTGCACCAGACACGTGTGGCATGTTATTTTGAATTTACCCAACTGACCTCAGTGGTTAGGGTTTGTCAAAGTAAAGCACGTGATGTTCTCAACTCTGCCTCAGGAAATGCTAATGATATGTTAGCAGTCACTGTGAGACTCCTTAAAATCAAGGCACCGAGACTCAATAGTGAGGTAACATGGGTTATGAGCTTACAGATCATGTCTGCACCATATGCATAGCTGTACAGACTGACAATCTCCAGAAGGCCTTTACCAGCATGCTCTGGGTTCAGGATAAAACTTGGGAAGGATTTTCTAGAGTCTGACTCGAAGGGATTTCCCTGGGACCATGCATGGATCTCCCAACTGGGAGCAAGGTGAAATTCCACTGGAATTGTAATCTTTGCCATTTTTCTAAGGATCACATGCGTTTTTAACCTACTTCACTCCTGAATCAGTAGCATTGGCTGCAGCACAGCTAGAAAACAAAACCCAAAATGATCATGACAAACAGAAAAAAAATCCCCCACTCCAAACTTCATACTTAAAAGCGAATGCCAACACAGACCTTGTCAAACGCTTCCTGTGAGGAAGAGCAGAACTTCAGGCACTCGTCAATGAAGAGATTGAGGTACCTTTGGCGAATGTTGGTTGGGACTTTGGCACCAAACTCAGTGGGAATAACGGGCCTCTTTAAACTAGCGCTCTAAAGAGAAAAAGAAAGGAATAAAAGGTTGTGCAGGGCTCGAGAAACAAATTGCTTTGGGTATCTCATGTTTCCCAGGTGTTATTAATAGTGCGGTGACTTCCTTTCTGAAAACCTTCTCAAACCCCGATACAATGTGTCTCATTTGCAGTCGCAAAAATAACACTTGCAACTGCTCTGGTCCCCCACAGTATTTTTATTATAAAGAGGTATTGAGATTTTTATAGTGTTTTGTTACAGACGAGTGGAATCGGGCCTTAAGATTCCACAAGGCAGCCAAGTAGCCTCAGTGGCGTTAGACACAAAGCTAGTATGTCTACATAGAAAAGCTTCCCAGACCATTAAAATTGTAGCACTTACATTAAAAGAGTCAAGGTTAGTGTGGTGACAAAGCATCACACTTCGTATCGGAGACATGACTGTATGAAACCAAACATAAAACCAATGGTCTGTGGGGCACATTTCCGATACTCCACCTGCAAAGAAGGGAAAATGGGAGGCTGGCAACATGCTAAGGGGCTGAATTCAGATAATTTGGCAACCTAACTGAATTCCCATACTCGCAAGTTGGGGTTCTCGTACGTTTAATTACGCCATTGAATTTCCTGTCTTTGTACGTTTTTGTGCGTGCCAACTACAAAGTGCTTGTAAGGACTTTTACCCTGAAGTAACTGATGTGCACTTTCTATGCCCTAACGATTTTTGTCTTGGAATACTGACTAAAAATACTCTGTATTTGACTAGGGTACACCCAACCACTGCCGTTTTCCTAAAAAGGTCTGTCTGCACCGCAATCAGAGGTGTGACTGAAGCACAGGCAGACATACCCAAGCCAGTTTTGAGCTAGTTATCTTGAACAACAATAGCAGAGAAGCCACAGCAGCATGAGCAGAGGCACAGCCTAGCTGCCTGGGTACAACCCTGCCGAGGCTCCTGCGAGCAGCTAGTCTGTGGTGCCATGGCTTCCCGGCTATTGTTGTTCGAGCTAGCGTGGGTATGCCTATATGTGCTGCAATCACACCTGATGACTGCCGTGTAGACATACTCTAAAGGCCAGCTTACATCACAAGTGATATGCTTTTAGTCTCTTCCTACAAACTGTATGCCCACATCACAAAGCCACCCAACATAAACCCAGGAACATAACAGCCCACGTGCTGCAAGTTAAGACCGAGGTGCACCAGGAGAGACTGGGGGGGTGAAAGGGACCTGCAGCAACAATTGCTCCAATGAGGATGAAAGTTTGTTTTATGTCGTGCCATTGGCCCTGTCTTGACAGGCAGAAAGGGTGCTTCTGTCAGTCATATTTGTTCAATGAAGTTAACTTAACACCACTGAAAATCACTCGTACTGCTAGTTAAGTGACAGCCTTATCTACATAGGAAAGTTTTTCCAATATAACCTAAGGTGTAACTTTCAACAGATGTAGTTATACCAGTATAACTTCCTGTGTGGACACTCATTCAACGTGCCTTTTTCCAATTTAGTTTATGTCACTTGGGAAGGAGTCTGAGGGTATGTCTACACAGCACTGTGACATGGGCAGTGTGGTCATGCTTTATCACCGGGGGAAAGCTCTCCCGGCAATAACAAATAACCACCCTGAACAAGCAGTTCCCGGCGATAAAGTGCTGTCTATACTGGCACTTTTCGGTGCTAAAACTTTTGTTGCTTGGGGGGATGTTTTTTCACACCCCTGAATGTCTAAAATTTTATCACTGAAAGTGGGCAGTGCAGACAACACAGCCTGAGCAAAACTGAAAAAACCACTCTTATTCTGGAATAAGCGTGTCCACAAAGAGGGATATTGGTATAACTAGACCAGTTTAAATTCACGCCTTATGTAAAACAAAAAAACCACCAAAGCTTTTCTGTGTAGACCTCACTCAAGTGAGCTAACAACATGAAAATGCACCCTTTTTGCCCAGCACCAGAGAGCTGTAGCATAAGTGGCACTTTTCAAACACATAGGATGACCAGGTCCATGCCCCAAACAGCTACAAATCTACACAGACAGTACAAACAGGGTACAGGCACAAGATGAGAGATTGGTATAAGGTTACAGTATATTTAAACATTAGAATTCGGTTGCAGATATATCCAGGTGGCTTTCAAAAGGTTATTTTTAGGACAGAAACCACTTCTGCCCTCAATGTCACTCTGAGTCGAATGATCAGAGAAGCATTTCCTGAAGTACTTGTATGTTTCTACGTTGCAGCCCAACTAAATGCTACAGTGACGTAATCCTGGGTAGGGCAAACACAATGAGAGTGGGAAACTCAGAACATAGCTGAATCTCACTGCTCCAGGAGCCTGCAGCAGCACACAGTTACATGCAATCAAACCAGTGTGGAATGAAGGGAAAAACCATACTACGGAGATGGGTTTGATATGCCAAGAGTTTGTTTTACCTGTAGACTGGGAGCGTGTGCTATTCTTTTCTGGAAAGCAGTAGTAGTGGTCTTAGACGTCATGCCAGTTAGCGTCCGGGCCTTCAGGGTAAGAGCAGGTGCCTCAGAGCCATTGGGGGCTCTAACGCTGCTGACTGGAATGGTTTTCTTAATGCCCACAGTGACTACAAGGTACAGAAAATACCATTTTAGACAGAAATTCCATCCACATTTTCACTTCTCATACTGAGCACACAGAGCTCAAGGACTGCACTGCACACTGGGATGCAGGAATGGTCGTTTCATTCCTTGTGCTTATCTACCATGTCAATGGAGAAAGAACTCAGTGGGTCTGTCAAATTACGTGATGTGTCCAACCTGTGTAGGGATGACGGTGGAAGTTTCTGCTGCAATGTGCTACACAGTTAGTCTTTGACTTGGGAGTTAGTGTCAGAATTACAGACATCTTGGTTCCAGTGCAAAGAGCATTGGCAGAAGTTAAATCCTGTCACACTCCTACTCATTGTGATCTGTGTAAATGCTCTTGGGTTTTAATTCTTCCACACTACCTATGTGATAAAATAGTCACTTTTATTTAATAAGGAATGCATGAATGTGATGTCCTCAAATGGTGCGGGAAGAGCAGTTAAGAATATAGAATTATAGAAGATTAGGGTTGGAAGAGACCTCAGGAGGTCATCTAGTCAACCCCCTGCTCAAAGCAGGACCAACCCCAACTAAATCATCCCAGCCAGGGCTTTGTCAAGCCAGGCCTTAACAACCACTGAGGATGGAGATTCCACCACCTCCCTAGGTAACCCATTCCAGGGTTTCACCACCCTCCTAGTGAAATAGTGTTTCCTAATATCCAACCTAGACCTCCCCCAATGCAACTTGAGACCATTGCTCTGTCATCTGTCTGTCATCTGCCACCACTGAGAAGAGCCAAGCTCCATCCTCTTTGGAACCCTCCATCACGTACTTGAAGGCTGCTATCAAATCCCCTTTCACTCTTCTCTTCCGCAGACTAAATAATCCCAGTTCCCTCAGCCTCTCCTCGTAAGTCACATGCTCCAGTCCCCTAATCATTTCCGTTGCCCTCTGCTGGACTCTCTCCAATTTGTACACATCCTTTCTGTCGTGTGGGGACCAAAACTGGACGCAATACTCCATATGTGGACTCACCAGTGCTGAATAGAGGGGAATAATCACTTCCCTCGATTTGCTGGCAATGCTCCTAATAATACAGCCCAATATGCCGTTGGCCTTCTTGGCAACAACGGCACACTGCTGACTCATATCCAGCTTCTTGTCCACTGTAATCCCCAGGTCCTTTTCTGAAAAACTGCTGCTTAGCCAGTTGGTCCCCAGCCTGTAGCGGTGCATGGGATTCTTCCGTCCTAAGTGCAGGACTCTGCACTTGTCCTTGTTGAACCTCATCAGATTTCTTTTGGCCCAATCCTCCAATTTGTCTAGGTCACTCTGGACCCTATCCCTACCCTCCAGCGTATCTACCTCTCCCTCCAGCTTAATGTCATCTGCGAACTTGCTGAGGGTGCAATTCATCCCATCATCCAGATAATTAATAAAGATGTTGAACAAAACCGGCCCCAGGACTGACCCCTGGGGCACTCCGCTTGATACCGGCTGCCAACTAGACATCGAGCCATTGATCGCTACCCGTTGAGCCCAACAATCCAGCCAGCTTTCTATCCACCTTATAGTCCATTCATCCAATCCATACTACTTTAACTTGGCTGCAAGAATACTGTTGGAGACTGTATCAAAAGCTTTGCTCAAGTCAAGATATATCTCATCCACCGCTTTCCCCATATCCACACAGCCAGTGAATAAGCCCTAACAGCATCGGAAGGTGTTCTGAAGAGTCTCAGGGGGACTCATTCATCACCTAACCAGAAGAGTTCTTGGTTGCTATTGGAAGTACCTGTCCACGTTCTGAAATAATGCCTTCTGTGATACAGCAAGAGGGAAGGGCTCAGAAAGGCTAAGCTAAGGACTCAGTCACTACCATGGACACTCAGATACCAGAAAAGCCATTACAAAAAGATCTCAATGATGCCACAAATGCAGGAGAGGAAGGAGACAGAATACCCTGACATCTGCAACATGAAAGCTAAATAGCAGAAACCACTTCATGATGAGTCAATATTATGATAACAGAAAAGCAAAAGGGTGAACACACTGGGGTGAAATACCTTCCCCCACTGAAATCAATGGCAACCCCCCCCCCCCCCATTGACTTCAGTGGGGCCAGAATTCCACCTTCTGTATTCCCTTAAATACAGTTGGCAATGTTCAGCTGAGTATATTTCATCTTATGTCTCACTTGTGCAGTGACTTGAGTCTTGAAAAAAATATATGCCAACATCCCTCTTAACCCAAAGTTTATTAACATCCTTAGTGGACTAAGAAGATTGTTTTGTATTTCCTCTTCCCCAAAACCAGACTTTCTAAAGCACATCTGCAAGAAGAGCGTCTTGCCACTAATATATTGGGGCAATTTTCCCCCCTTTAAAATGCTGTTTGAGGACATTGCTTTCACACTACACATGGAGAAGTGGCTGGCTTTCTTTTCACACATGGCAGGGTAGATTTTGTAGGCAGAAGGAAATACAGATGTCAGAGTGTGTTTCCAAGAAACAACCCAATAATTTTTAAAACATCTTTTCTCATCCAAAAAATCCTAAATAGAGGATTCTAGATTATAATCTCCAGATCTTCTTTGCCGTCAGCATGGGCTAAGGGTATCTGTAGTACTGACAATACCCAGGAGAGTCTTACAGTGGGAAAGTAATGCTTATAGTGCTGCGAAAGCTTTTATCCAGAAAAAAGTCAACCCAGATTTTTCTACTTTTTGAACTTGCGCCATTCTGAAGTATTTATATGAACACAGAATGGACAAAGTCATTTGTGACTGGAGAGAGAAGAGTATCTAGCGGGAGGATTCAACGGTCACTGACTGTTGAAGAGAAGGTAGTAGGTGGAGTTATGAATTGTTTGGAAGCTTGGTTTGCTAACTAGCTTTAGAAAGAGTCACACTGACAGATACCCTGCCGAGTGGAACTCTATACACTGGCATGCAACTAGAACTAGTATGTTGACATTTCCAACGAGCATGAAAATTTAACAACGCATAACACACGTTTTATGCAGACGAGGGACTCAACAGAAAGGCACGACATTTTTAAAAGTAGACATTTCAGGGGGACTTCTTGGGAGACTACAGGCAGATGATACCACTGTCAGAGCCTCCGTGAAAATTTGGCTTGAACACATAAAAAAAGATGGAACTACACAGAAATAAAATCAAAAAGCCATTCAGAGAAATTACAGAACCTTTTCATTATTTTGCCAATATTACTGCTCCCAAATACAAAGGTTATAGGTTAAACCCCTGAACAGGAGAAGTGGCCAAATCATGGCTGGTAGAACATAAGCGCATTCCTTCTCTTCCAGCATTTAAAACTGAAGATCCAGATTTCTACCCCGTCACTACGATTGTGAAGGCAGTAGTGCCACAGGTCATTTCATTAAAATGATGGGAAACTGAGGCAGTAAAGTCACAGAAGATGGGACCATTCAGAATTGTGTCAATTTTTAGAAGATCTGAACTCCTGTTCAATCAGCTTAGCATGAGTCCAGCATACTTTTAGAACATTCAAATCGTTCTGAACTTTGTAATATGTTAGATCAGGGGTCGGCCACCTTTCAGAAGTGGTGGGCCGAGTCTTCATTTATTCACTCTGATTTAAGGTTTCACGTGCCAGTCATACATTTTAACGTTTTTAGAAGGGCTATTTCTATAAGTCTATAATATAGAACTAAACTATTGTTGTCTGTAAAGTAAATAAGGTTTTTAAAATGTTTAAGAAGCTTCATTTAAAATTAAATTAAAATGCAGAGTCCCCCGGACTGGTGGCCAGGACCCGGGCAGTGCGAGTGCCCCTGAAAATCAGCTCACGTGCCGCCTTCGGCACACGTACCATAGGTTGCCTACCCCTGTGTTAGCTACTGAAAAAGCAAATAAGTTGGTAAAAATGTATCTGTATGTACGGGCAGATACAAAAGTGCGTTAGATCTAACTAGTCAAGGGAAAGGAAAGTTACTAACGGCATTCTTGTTTTGCTAAGAGAATGGCAAAGCTTTTTATTTTGGACAACATGGTTGAGGAATAAATACACTAGCATGCATTTTGTTTCATTTCATAAAACGTGTGTGCGCTTCCTAGAGTTTCTTACTTTTCAGAAAACAAACAATGAACATAAGAACATAAGAATGGCCACACTGGGTCAGACCAAAGGTCCATCTAGCCCAGCATCCTGTCTTCCCACAGTGGCCAATGCCAGGTGCCCCAGAGAGAATGAACGGAACAGGTAATCCTCAAGTGACATCCCCTGTCACCCATTCCTGACGAATAGCCATTGATGGACCTATCCTCCATGAATTTCTTTTTTGAATCCTGTTACATGGGATTTTTCAGTTTGGAGGAGAGGGGAAAGGAGGGGGGAAAAAATCACAATCCCTGACTTCTGGCCCAGCACACAAAAATCTGAACTTGGCCAGTGCTACCTCAAGTGGAGGAATGTTTCTGTTTTCCTGTATTCTCGCTGCAAAATACCTGGAGCTTTTATTATCTTTAAAACATTCTCTTAAGGAGACTGTCATTTTAATAGGAGAAAGTGAAAGGACAGCAGTTAATGGAGCTAGCGGTGACTTACTCTGCTTTGCTGCTGTGGAAAGTGCTACATTTGGCACATGAGCAATCCTTTTCTTTTCTCCTGGCAAGGCAAGAGAGGCCTTTTGGACTGCCACAGCCAGCTGTGCCGCCTGCTGCTGTGCCAGCTGAATCCTCCGGTAACAGACCTCCTGGGCAGTTGGTGGGCGGTACGGCCGGATGACTGGTTTGCTCGGGACATCTGCCTGTACAGATACAAAGTATTCTAAAATCAATCTGTTTGCTTGCTGAAGTCCAGACCCCTGGCCTTCATTCAGAGTAGAAAAGGGTAGAGGCTCTTTTACAACTCTAGGTCCCAGGATTTAGGCTATGGCTACTCTATGGAGCCTACACCAATGCAGCTGCATCGCTCTAGTGCTGCTAGTGCAGATGCTCTAAGCCAATGGTAGGGATCGGATACAGAGGGACCTAGACAAATTAGAGGATTGGGCCAGAAAAAACCTGATGAGGTTCAACAAGGACAAGTGCAGAGTCCTGCACTTAGGACGGAAGAATCCCATGCACTGCTACAGACTAGGGACCGAATGGCTAGGTAGCAGTTCTGCAGAAAAGGACCTAGGGGTCACAGTGAACGAAAAGCTCAACAGTGTGCTCTTGTTGCCAAGAAGGCTAACGGCATTTTGGGCTGTATAAGTAGGGGCATTGCCAGCAGATCGAGGAATGTGATCATTCCCCTTTATTCGACATTGGTGAGGCCTCATCTGGAGTACTGTGTCCAGTTTTGGGCCCCACACTACAAGAAGGATGTGGAAAAATTGGAAAGAGTCCAGCGGAGGGCAACAAAAATGATTAGGGGGTTGGAGCACATGACTTATGAGGAGAGGCTCAGGGAGAGTCTGCAGAAGAGAAGAATGAGGGGGGATTTGATAGCTGCTTTCAACTACCTGAAGGGGGGTTCCAAAGAGGATGGAGCTCGGCTGTTCTCAGTGGTGGCAGATGACAGAACAAGGAGCAATGGTCTCAAAAGTTGCAGTGGGAGAGGTCTAGGTTGGATATTAGGAAACACTATTTCATCAGGAGGGTGGTGAAGCACTGGAATGCGTTACCTAGGGAGGTGGTGGAATCTCCTTCCTTGGAGGTTTTTAAGGCCCGGCTTGACAAAGCCCTGGCTGGGATGATTTAGTTGGGAATTGGTCCTGCTTTGAGCACGGGGTTGGACTAGATGACCTCCTGAGGTCCCCTCCAACCCTGATATTCTATGATTCTATGAATGGGACAGAGCTCTTCTGTCGACTTAATTATTCCAGCCCCCGCGAGCGGCGGTGGCTATGTCAGCAGGAGAAACTCTCCCACCGACATAGTGCTGTCCACACCGGTGCTTAGATCGTTGTAACTTACGTTGCTGAGGGGGGTGGCTTATTTACACCCCTGAGCAACATAAATTATACCAACCTAAGCTGTAGCATGTACATAGCCTTATTTTGTTTATAAAGGTTTGCGTGTGTCAGCTGATGGAAGTGGAGGTCATGCTAGTCTTCCAGAATAGTTATCATTACAGGCAGCTCCTTTCAGTTTTAGTTTATTTAAAAACCCAATTCACTTGTGTTTACAGCATCAGAACATGACAACTAGAATTCAGAGGTCTGTTCATACATAGGAACAGCACCCTTCTGAAAAACAATACTCATGTACGACAAAGTTATATATGCATTTTCTTTGATGCAGGAATTCAGTATGCAGGAAAGGTGCCAGAATGGACAGCAGTGAAGACCGAAACCTTCTCGCAAGAGAACAAATACCAAAGAGGCAGTAGCAATGCAAACTTCCCCACACTTCCCAGTCGATGTACCTCAAACCTAACTCTCGGTGTCCACATCTAGTGTCTTTCAGAAGGGAGGGCAGTCTCTACAACCCATTAATTACCTGGCCTTTTTGCTGAGACTGCAAACTAGGGAGCAAATTAGTGTCTACTGGAAACTGTTGTCAGAGTAAACAGAGAATAGACGATAACTTTAGATTACTACTGAACTGGATGTGAATGGCTTTCTACCTCCTCACCAGTCTCTTCATTCCCGCACTCGAAAACTCAACTAAAAGACAACCTCTTTTTCTTCCGTTTCTACTTAAGTTCTTGAGATGTAAGTGGCAAGGAACACAATGCATACAATACCATTTGGATGCATGTAGCAATATCGGGAATCTAATTCTGCGTGCATACACATAGTAAATGTTTTCTGACAATAACGGAAGAAGTTAAGGAGCCTATGGCATGACATGAAAGCAGCAGGCAATACCACCACCTCCTAGGCAACATTCTCTTTATATATCAGGTTCTGATGTCCAAGTCTGGGTGCAAACCGTTGCTGAGCACACCAAGACTGCTGTTTGCCTAGACAATGACTGCACTATGACTACCTCGCGTCTCTGAAAAGTGCTTTGGGGTCAGAAGCTGCATTAAGAACATTTATCTAAAGATACATAAATGCCTAATGTGTACATATTTACAATGAATATTTGTGTTAATGAATTTCCAACCCATTTACTTCAATCTCTTATCTCCTTAGTTTATAAAAAAGAGCCTTATCAAACAAGCGAGCGAACTGGCTGAAGATATGTAATTAACAAAAACGCATTGCACTGATCTCAGGTCTTAAAAGGTTAAAAACACCCTTTTCCAGACTAAAAGAACAGGAGTACTTGTGGTACCTTAGAGAATAACAATTTTATTAGAGCATAAGCTCTCGTGGGCTACAGCCCACTTCTTCGGATGCATATAGAGTGAAACATATATTGAGGAGATATATTATATATACACACATACAGAGAGCATGAACAGGTGGGAGTTGTCTTACCAACTCTGAGAGGCCAATTAAGTAAGAGAAAAAAAATTTTTGAAGTGATAATCAAGATAGCTCAGTACAGACAGTGGAAAGGAAGAACAATTCATTTTGGAAATCCTGGTTAGATCAATGCTTAAACTTCATTCTTCTCCTGCTGCAATATAAAACTGAATAATCTATCTTCAGCAGCTGGAGGGAAAAACTATGGCAAACAAATGAAAAATCTGAATGAAAGAAAACGATGATGTCTTTATGGCCTATTTTCTTGTTTTCTGAAGATAGTTTAAATTCAGATGTGTAGAAAAAAGATGTAAAATGAGATACTCAGCTGGTTAAAATGGAGCAAATACAAACAAGGAAAACAACCCCTCAGATTTGCAGTGCTTCAGACTCAGGCAACTATGCTATGTTAACCTTTTTGCTTTTGCAAGACAAAAACTTAATAAGCTCTCTTAAATACCCAGGGTAACCTATGTACAGTTAACTTTGATCTAATGAAGCTACATTTATACTGATGGAACATGAAAATCTTAGACTGTGTCAGTGCATCACAACATGCAGAATGCAATTCCAGTTACAGGGCTGGTACCTGTTTTTGCTGAAGGCCAATAGGAGTTTTGCCATTAACTTTACTGGAAGTCAAACTGTATTTCGGAGTGAAGTTATTCAGGGGGGAAAAAAAAGAACTTCCATGTAACAGGGTTCCACTACAAATATATCACAGTCAACTTCCCTATATTTTGGTTGTTTCACCTACAGCCTGTGCGGTTTCCTAATACATTGTGGTCATATGATGGGAAAGAAATCTTATTAACACTTTCTCCAAATTGTATTCTTGTTAATGAGGTTTACACTTACGTTTCCTTGCTTGGCAAGGTGAGAGATCCTCCTTTTTTGGCCAGGAAATAGAGTGGTTAAAGCGTCATCCACCTTTTCTTCACTTGCCTCTTCTTTCAGTGGCTACAAAACAAAAGAGCAAACTTCCAAAATTGAATCGACTCAAGTTTCTGCTCCATGGGGATGTTTGGAAAGCCTCCCTCTGGGATAATGGAACCATAAAGGGAAATTGCTTCCAGACAGCAGGTGAGTACAAACTACTACCAGCTGCTAAACTACTGAAAGAGAACCAGCTTTCAAAATAAGAGACACCAGTGAAGCAAATGAATAACAGCATTACTGTTCCCACCCATGCAGCCCATTCACGGATCTTACAATAGGATGCCTTGGTATAAACTATTACAGACACTATTCTATTGGCCACCCTTAAAGATTGAATGCTTCAGCAGTGCTGTTTACCTGCCAACCACTTACATATCTCAATGTGTTAGCAACATTTTTAAAGCCAAGGAATTTAATTAAACGCTAGATTAGTTAATTTCTTGGTCCCACATAATGATCTCTCACCGAGCAGGCCCTGAAAAGCTGCAGCGCACTGCGCCTCAATGTCACTATTCTGCTTTTAAGAAACAGTGCACCCCTGCAGCTATATACAAGACTAATCCATCGAGGGACTGTGGTGCCAAATGCAGAGATGCTTTGTTCACAAGGCAGAAACCCAGGATAGAACAACAGCTTTGCAGTAGAGAAGATGCTTTTTAACGCTCCTGTTTCCAGACACTTGATTTTCCAGATAAAAAGCCACTTTTGGGCTGACTCCTCAGGCTTGTTCCCAGCAAACAAACCAACCTGTTTAGAAATGTTGATAAAACTCTATTTAGCTGTTTGAGTTATACAGGCACGTACAATCAGTGTTGCACATATTAACTCTTTTAGAGCCGTATCCGTGCTCTGATCATTCTTATTTTTAACACTCCAAAAGAGCCACTAGCAGAGTTCTCAAAGGCGCTAAGTTTGACATTCGCAAAGAAATTTAGTTTAGACAAAGCTATAGACGTGATCTTAGCAAAACCTCAGTTCTCACTTAAGCATCTAAACAAGAGCCGGATTTTCAAAAGCGCTCAGCACCCAGCAGTTCCCACTGTGACATTCATGACCAGGTTTTCAAAACTGGTCAGGTCCTAATTATTTAGGGGCCTCAACAGGAGATTAATTTTTTTTTCTTAAATCTGACCACATAGAGTTCCACAGCGTTTAAGGCCAGAAGGTACCTTTAAATCATCTAGCCTGACCTCCTGCATATCACAAGCCATTACAGTCCATCCAGATACCCCTATATTAAGCCCAAATACTTGAGTTAGACCAAAGCATTTCAGTCCTCGAGAGACTAAACTGTATGCCACAGGCAGAGAACAGGAAAGCCCTATGTCCGAGGCGCCTGCAATGACAAGGAACTGGTTAGATGAGATATATGCAGATAATCCCAGCGGGATGATCCTGTTAGATTCCTAAATAGGAGCTGTTGAGTGAGTGCTGAGCTCTTTTAAAAATCTGGCCCTATAAATACCTTCAAAATTAACAACTCACTGAGATCTGGGGCTCCGGGCTGGTTTTTAAAGCAGAACACACCTAAATAAGCACCTACTCAGAGGTATCTTTCCCTCTTAAAAGACCAATCTTCTCTCCTCTTAATCTTCAATAGCTATGGGGTGCAAGGGAAGGAAGCCTTCTCCAAAAAGGGAAAATTAAAGCCTTGATGAAGGAATATAAAATGCTGTGCGTGCAAGGACCAGTTAGTTGCTGTGAGAATGTTGCCCTATGAACATTTCCATTCTGCGCCATAACACTGCATTTGCACAGTTTCATTGAAGTGATTTAGAGCCCTCATTTCAGTACTTTTTCAAGGGAATAAGAATTATAAGAACTCCACCATTTTTGCACTATGCAACATTTGGAAAGCTCGAAGAAGATGATAAACCTTCCTTGCTATAAACAAACTGGCATGTTGTTAAACTCCTTTCATTTAAAATTGGCAACGTAGAGTTTATTGCTATTGTTGGCCCCTTCTTATTAAAGCATGAGGCTTTTGACAATGGGAACACAGACAATTAAACAACTCTCACCTACTCTTTCCTAAACACCATCAAAAGAACGCCTGTGTTTAAACAGTCATTATTTTCTTCTGAACTATTAAACCAGCAGAATCAATTAACAGGGAAACCTCCTTTATAATTTCTTCCACCAAGGCCCTAACATCAGTGTCACATATGTCATTACCTGTCAGCAAGAGAGAACATTAGGCTCTGATCAGTGCCATTACAGCAAGTAAGATCTAGAATCAGAAGCTGTATTAGCCAGTCAGTCTTTCATGGGGCAAAATTCTCTTCTCCATACAGCAGTTGTGGCTTCAGTCAAAGCCAATCAGCAACTTCTCAGGTGCTTAGGAGCATTTGTCTTTTAATATCATGCTTTGTTCAACACATGCCGAATGCATCTAGTTATCTCAACTTCATTTAAGAAGCCTTAGTCTGGACATAGCGAGCCCATACAATACACCTGTCTCAGCTAAATGTAACTCTTTGGTACGCTCCATTGCAGTCAGATGTGCCTAAAAGAGAATATTGGCGATAAAGGTTTTCGGGGTTTCTTTGAATAAAGGAAGTCAGGTTTTTTCTAGAGTCTATTCCCAGTTTGATTTCCAGAAACACCTGCTATGGTGCAAATGAAGTGATCCCCAATAGAAAACTTAACAGCGTTATGTTTGACATGAAATCAAGCGCTTCTGTTCATTTACAGCCAGTCACACATTTAGCTGAGGGTTTGTTCTCATTGTCTCGTTAACTCAGATGTCAAAAAGATGGAGGATAAGATTAATTTATTTCTATCCTATCATCCCGGAGGCCACTAAAGGATTATTACTGACAGCGTGTTTTCTAGTTCTTTGCCCTTCTTAGTTTTAAATGTCTCCATGGATGGGGCTTTCTACACTTAATTAGGAGACTATGCCACAACCATAGGGATCTCACTGTTATGCAGCTTTTAAGATAAATGTTCTTTTTCTTTATTTTATCCCATTCCTCCAAATACCTTTTGTATCATTCTGAGTAATTCTTCCCACCACTTAAGAGTTTACACTATTCATGTATGGATGGATGGGAATCCTTATGCAGGAATTGAACTATGAGAGTTTAAAATGGCAAACATATAGGCTTTCAGAGGTTCCCTTTAAAAGTATCAATTAGATCAGGGGTTGGCAACCTTTCAGAAGTGGTGTGCCAAGTCTTCATTTATTCACTCTAATTTAAGGTTTCACGTGCCAGTAATACATTTTAACGTTTTTAGAAGGGCTCTTTCTATAAGTCTAGAATATAGAACTATTGTTGTATGTAAAGTAGATAAGGTTTTTAAAATGTTTAAGCAGCTTCATTTACAATTAAATTAAAATGCAGAGCCCCCCGGACCGGTGGCCAGGACCTGGGCAGTGTGAGTGCCACTGAAAATCAGCTCGCGTGCCGCCTTCGGCACGCGTGCCATAGGTTGCCTACCCCTGAACTAGATCAGCGGTTCTCAAACTGTGGGTCGGGACCCCAAAGTGGGTCGTGACTCCGTTTTAATGGGATTGCCAGGTCTGGCATTAGACTTGCTGGGGCCTGGGGCTGAAGCCCAAGCCCCAAAGCCCGACGGCTTCAGTCCTGAGTGGCGGGGCTCAGGTTACAGACCCCCCCCTCGCCCGAGGCTGAAGCCCTTGGGCTTCGACTTTGGCCCACCTGCACGGGGTGTTGGGGCTCAGGCTTTGTCCCCCCTCCTGAGGTGGCCGGGCTCGGGCGTGCTCAGGCTTTAGTCCCCCATCCTGGGGTCATGTAGTAATTTTTGTTGTCAGAAGGGGATCACAGTGCAATGAAGTTTGAGAACCCCTGAACTAGAGAATATCCCAATATCCAACTAAATATTGGTTATGGGCTATGAAATGCTTACAGGAGGGAGTAGGCTACCTGGCTGAATTGTCTAGGTCCTGGGTTTCTTACACATCCAATCCCTACCTGGCCAGTTGCCTCCTCATTAAGGAGGGCTCTTTTTTCATTCAGTCCTCCACTCAATTCAGTAAGCGTCAGCCATACTAGCCTACTTTCACCATGAACTTATTGCCTTAGAGGTTGCCCTGCTGTTTCTGGTCATGCTGCACTCAGTGAAACCTGTTGCACGAAGGAGTGGGGGTCCCCAGCCTATCAGCAATGATGGTGGCCTGGGCTACCTCTGAAAGGCCCGGAAATTCTCCCTGAAACTTTTGATGTATCCAGCTAGACAGCTGGGGTTGTCATTACACGTGCTGGAGACCCAAACAACTGCCAATTCTGCTGGGGTGAAGCACTTCAAAACTGATGGATGTCAAAATTCAGATTCCAGTGCCTTGTCCATCTTGTGGCAGGGAGGAACCATCCCCCAAACTTCTGGTCTGGTATAGCAAAACACAGAAAAATAGTAACTAGATACTACTTCCGATACCCAATTAACTACTGGTGGGATGGAAATGGATAGCACACTCAAGCCACAAATACTTTCAAGCATTGGTCAAAATTATAAATGGAACAGCAATTTAAACTCTTGGGGGGGGGGGGGAAATCCCCACTCTCCCCTCCCCCGCCAACTCCTTGGGAGAGGTAACAACAATAGAATAATGACACTAAAGGCAGTTGGTTTAACATCTAGATTTGGAGGCAGGGGAATGACTGACTAGTGTTGAATTCAGAATGAGCATTACCTGCTTCCCTAGCCTTCCCTTGTCTTCTGTTTTCACATCCGTGGATTCGTTAAAAATTCTGAGGCACTCTTCCATGGGGTCAGAGTCATAATCCAAATCTTTCTCCAGGATGGAATAATCAATGTCATCAGAGGCTGAGGAGGATGAAGATGACTTGGACAGCTTGGAGCGCTGAATGCTCTTTGTCCCTTCATTATCACTCTGAAAACCATAGGAGCCATCATCTCCATCGGAGTCTGAGCTCATGTTTGGAAATGGAGCCAGAGATTGGCCCACCTTCTCCTCCTCCCCACTCTCATCTCCAAATAGGTCAACGTGGCTCAACGTCCGCTGTTTCGGCTTACACTTGCCTTTTGAGTTCCCCACTTTCGCAGGGCTTGCCTTCTTTTTTGGACGATCAGAGGCAGAAGTCTTGCCCCCTTTGTCTTTGTGTTTATCACTAGAGGCTTGTTTGCCATTTTTCAGATCAGCTGCCTTTAGCATGGAGTCCTTCTTGCTACCTTCCAGCTTCTCTGTGCTAGCTCCCTTACAGAGCCCCTCATTCTTGCTTTTCCCTGAGCTGGCTGCACAACTGGTGGACTTAGACTTCTCTTTCTTAGCCACTTTTTCCAATTTCTCTTTTTCAGATTTCTTCGAATTCCCGTCTGGTTTTGCTTTGATACTTTTCTCTTTACAGTTTTTTTCTCCATTTTTAATTTTTAATTTTTCTTCTTTCTTGACTATTCTCTCTTTCTTTGTGTTTTTACTTTTCTCCTTCTTGCCCATCTCTTTGTGGCAAGGGGGCTTCCTGCCATCTGTTTTTTTCTTTTTCATTTTGTCTTTTGCAATCTCTTTGCTGTCTTTCTCTTCAACATCCTGATCATTCTTGCCAGAAGATGCCTTTGCCAATTTTGTATTCTTCTCCGACAAGTCTTTGACAAGATTTTTCCGTGGACTTTCAATATCTTCCATGTCATACTGCACTGCCATTTCTTTCATCTCCCGGGAATTTAGGTCTTCCAGTTTGGTGCTCTTTTCTTTGATGGACAACCCATCACTTGATTCATTTTCAGAACTGACTTTAGATTGTAAACGGCTAACAGAGGTTGGCTGGTATTCCAAGTCAACATCCTCTTCAGAGTCAGAGAATTTGGCATACGTTCCATAGTTATTGGATACATTACAGTGCTTTTTGCGTGAAGGAGAATAAGATTCTCCATGACTAGAGACCTTTCTCCTTTTGGTCCCCTTCTGCTCCTTTGTGCAGGCTTTGCTCAAAAGCCTTGCTGAGTAATTTGAAAGAGGGTCATATTCCAAGTCCGTAGAAGGCTTGGAGTCATCAATCACATACTTATTGTTCGTGACAACGCTACTGTATTTTTTAGGCTGAGCCACAACCTTGGGAACGTATTCCAATGAATTACCTTTGGATTTTGCATTATCAAAAGTATCCAAGGTGTATTTACTTGAACTAGCAGCAGCCAAAGGCGTAGGGTTGTAGTCTGTGTTATTATTCAAGTTATAGCTACCTGGGTTATATTCTAAAGAGTCTGTTTTTGTCACAGCAGCTGATACAGGTGTTTTGGAAATAAGCGAAGTAGCCTCAGATGTGCTGTATTCCTTTGTTGTCTCCAATAGCTCCTCATACTTTTTCTGTTCTCTCTCAACTTCATATTTTACTTCTTCAATGGCCTTGTTGACCAACTCCAGCTGCAGAATGCTAGGGGTTGACACTGTAATGTCACCCAAAGCACCATTCGCTATTTGGGTCGAAGGCTTGGGAAGCTCAGGGTTATATGGATCATAACCAAGCTCTGTAAGGGGAGAAAGAAAAGTATCTTAGATCCAGCAATTTTTCTAAAGTAAGATTATCCTTGACTATGAATGAAATGTCTATTAAAGTCTAAAAGAGAAGCTCCACTAGCATCAGAACCCGGCATTGGAAAGATATGTAACAAACAAACAAAAAACCAACCAAAAACATGCTCTTGCATGTGGAATGGGACACACTAGCTGCTCAACATTCTCCAGCTTGTGTGAAGCAGGAGGTCAAACTAGGTGATCACAATGGTCGCTCCTGGTCTTAAAGCCTATGAATAATACACCGTTGTGAATCCAATGCCTTTATAACTTACTATGGTTTTGAAAAGCTCTAGAGGTAAAATTTTCATTTGTGAATTTAAAGTTCAGTTTTCATCAAAATGATAACTAAAACTCCGTCTTGTTACTGCACATATCTGCTCCTCCTATTTCTCCGTGTCCTTGCTACTTAATGTAAAGAGTTTTTAAATTATTTTTATTACTGTACGCACTGCAGAGCTAACATGGTTGCACAAGAACTGTATTTTATTGTGACAAAAATTGCCAACCAAGTTCTAATTATTTTTTACTGTTGATGCCAGTGTCTGAAGCACCAAACATCTCCAATTTCACTTGCAGTCCACTGAGGTTTGTGACTGGGAGGGAGAAAACCTTACCCTGGCTGATAAACTGAGCAAATGTGACACAGAAGTCACTGAAATGGAACACATTAACGGGTCTTTTAGAAAGGTAAAACTACACTTCAATTTCATAGAGCAAGGAGATTAAGACAGTGTATTAAGTATGCTCACAACATTTAAAAGATAACCAGAAATGTTTGACATTTGTCTTCCCACAAATCTCTTTTCAGATGTTGCAACTTCCTCAGATAATTGTAACATTAAAACTGTCTGAGAATCTTGGAGCATGCAGACTCTGAACCATCCACCTTGGCACTTAGACTAATTGCAGTGATATCCTACCACTCCATTTGATCTTTTACATAGAAATAGAGAAGAAAGAATTGCTGGGGAGATTTTTTTTTTGGTGAATGCATTTTTACTCTTGCTGTATAAGTAGTTTGCACATCACTTGAAAATTTTACATCTATTTATCCAAGTAGGAGATAGCAACTTTCAATTGAGACATTAAAGTCAAAGAAAATCAGTAAAGCATAGCCTGATGTCTAATCTGCTCACAAGGCACCCGTATGCTAACCAGTGTACATAATTTTGTGGCAATTATGTAGTCAGCAAGCAACTTGCTCCCTCGCTAAGTACCAGGCACAGAAAAAAGATAATTTTCTCCTCTGTAATTAACAGAAGTTCATGATAACAATCATGATTCAGGGCCACTAAGTGCTACTAAACTGGCCTGTTCATCCCCATATGTTTCTAAAAAACGAACCAAGATCTTAATCAAAATGATTCTGCTGAACCCACGACATTAACGTAAGAAAAACTTACTAGTTTATACTGAAAACAGGATGTATTTTAAAAGTAAATCAGTAAAAATAATGAGTTTGGTCACGTTAAGAAACCACTGGCTAAGCCTTTGTGCAGAACATGGCTAGAGCTCAGGGCTCTGCAGAGATGAAAAACAAGATGGTTTTTCATGTTGCTTCCTGAACAAGGGCTACTCAAGGCAGTACATTACAACATACTGCAAAAATGGAAAATGCACGAATGCGAAGACTTAACTTAGGTTTTAATCTTGTCAACTGACTCAAAACTAGAAGAGACAGAATCTTCTTTCATGGCATTTATTGTTTATGGCCAATTACAAGAATATAAGAGTTGCCATACTTGGTCAGACCATGGTCCATCTTGCCCAGTGTCCTGCCTCCGATACCATACCATACCCGAGTTTCAGGGGAGTGTACAGAACAGGGCAATTATGCTTTCCACTTCCAGGATAAATGATCTTTTTTTAATCCCTATCGTAGGATGGAGGCAAATCCTAGGTAATGAACTCTTTGAAAGATCAAAATTTGTCAGCCTACTCTCACGCTATTAATCCAGGGGTGGGCAAACTTTTTGGACCGAGGGCCACATCTGGGTATAGAAATTGTATGGCGGGCCATGAATGCTCACGAAATTGGGGGTTGGGGTACAGAAGAGGGTGAGGGCTCCGGCTGGGGGGGTGCAGGCTCTGTGGTGGGTCCAGGCTCTGTGGTGGGTCCAGAAATGAGGAGTTCAGAGTGTGGGAGGGGGCTCCGAGCTGGGGCAGGCGGTTGGGGTGCGGGGGGAGAGGGGGTGAGGGGTCTGGCTGGGGGGGCTGGCTCTGGGGTGAGAATAAGAGTTTGGGGTGCAGGAAGATGCTCCAGGCTGGGATCAAGGGGTTCGGAGGGCAGGAGGGGCATATGGGCTGGGGCAGAGGGTTGGGGCATGGGAGGAGGTCGGGGTGCAGGCTCCAGGCAGCGCTTACTTCAAGCGGCTCCCAGAAGCAGCGGCATGTCCCCCCTCCGGCTCCTACGCAGAGGCACAGCCAGGCAGCTCTGCACGCTGCCCCGTCTGCAGACGCCACCCCTGCAGCTCCCATTGTCCCAATGGGAGCTGCGGGGGCGGCACTTGGGGCGGGGGCACAGTGGCAAGCCCCTTGGCTGCCCCTATGTGTAGGAGCCGGAGGGGGGTCATGCAGCTGCTTCCGGGAGCTGCGCGGAGCCATGGCACACAAGGAGCAGGGCAAGCCCCCGACCCCGCTCCCCGACCGGAGCAAGCCCCGGACCCTGCTCCCCGGCGGGAGCCGGAGGGCCGGATTAAAATGTCTGAAGGGCTGGATGCAGCCCCCAGGCCGTAGTTTGCTCACCCCTGTAATAATCTGTTTCCAAAGTCCTGTTATACACGTTTTCTGCTGGCTATTGCCAAGTTAGTCATATTGCTCACAGCGTGTGCAAATGTGACGTTGCTTCTCAGGCAGCGTGGAAAAGGGATGGCATTTATAAGTGGGGGTGTCTACTGTGCACCTTAGAAACGGAATGGATTTTGGCAACGTTGTATTGTTACTTCTGACCGTCCTGCACAGCAGCACCTTTTGGAAAGTGCAGTTCCACCCTATGAAAACATGGCAACAGGAGTAACCTTTGCAACACAATACATTTCCAAAATGACAGGTCAGCCAACGGATGGGGCTGCTCTAGCAGAGGAAGGAGAAGCAACCCAGAGGAAGACACACAGATAGTTGGTTGTCAAACACCTACGCCTCTCCTCGCTGCCAGATCGTCAATGACAGGAACACACATTCCTCTCCAGCCACTCCCACAGGCCTAGCCCATCCCCTGCGGAAAGATGAGGTTTTACATCTTTCACATATGCAGCATTGACAAATCCATAGGTGCTCTCCCCCACCTTCAAAACCAGGGTATCCACATTTGGCACACTTTTCAGTGGCAGGTTCAGAATACTACACTTTGGCACACCACTTCACAATTTTAGCTGTGATGAACTTGCTACTATAAATAAAACAAAGTCAATTTTACAGACTACTTGAAGCTGCAGGTAAGTTACACAAATGGGGCGCAGCCCTCTGGCGGCTGACAAATCGCCACTGTGGCGCTCTTGTAAAACCTGGATGCTCTTATTCTAAAGCAGCCCTGTTCTCCTTCACCAGAGGGACAGTAACAACCCTGGCTCTCACGGGTGGGTACATAAAGGAGGTGAAAAATCAGGGCCCTAATAGTGATGCAAAGGAGTCATAGAATCAAAAAAAAAAACCTGAACAAGTTGATATGGGCAATTTCCATCTCTTCCTCAAACGCCTTCAAGCCTAACCATACAAGGTTGTGTGCTTCCTCTGAAAGGTGCTGAGCTCCCTTATCTCCCACTGAAAGTAAGAACTGAGGATGCTTAGCGCCTTACAGAATGAGCCCGTGTGTGGGTGGAATAGAGACTAGTTTTATGAAATGCCTTTCATACTCCAAGTCTCTCAAAACTTTTTACAAAATAATTAGTCTGAAAGCGCAGGGACTGTGTGGGCAAAGGCGGTATGTCACTATGTTCCGAGCGACAGCTCAAACTGTCTTCAGCATTCGGAACGCAGGGCATTACTTTGAAAGAATGAATATTATTTTGCATTTACATAGCATCCTCCCCCCTGAAAGATCCCAAAGTGCTTTACAAACCAAATATAGACAGCACTTCTGCAACGCAGCCATCTTTGGGTAAGGGTGGCAATCTACCAGCAGTAAAATCTTTCACGTCCACACATGGTGCTTAATACCTAACCGAAAAGACAGCTACACCGTGTGAACTGAACTCAATTTATCTTCCTCGGGAGGAGGAAGGGCTGAGTGAGCCCTACGGTGATTTTAAAAGGTGGTTATGGAGAGTCTCAGGCTAAGACTATATTTCATGCTACGACAGCAGCGCTGTCGCACTTCAGTGTGGACACTCACTACAGCAATGGGAGGGGTTCTCCCCTCCCCGAGAAGCCGTAGCTAGGTCAGCAAAACAACTCCTCCATCGAACTAGCGCTGTGTACACCCGTGATAGGCACAGCTAAGGCGGGGAGGGATAGCTCAGTGGTTTGAGCATTGGCCTGCTAAACCCAGGGTCGTGAGTTCAATCCTTGAGGGGGCCATTTAGGGATCTGGGGCAAAAATCTGTCTGGGGATTGGTCCTGCTTTGAGCAGGGGGTTGGACTAGATGATCTCCTAAAGTCCCTTCCAACCCTGATATTCTATGATTCTGTGTAGATCAGGCCTCAGTGTTCCCTTCTCCAAAGCAGAAGACACCTCCGAGGGAGGTGGCACATTAAACCAAAGGTAGACAGAGACCAAATTCTCAGGCTCTGTCCACACTACAGAGCCTATGCCAGCTTAGCTAATGTTGGCCTAGCTGTGTTGGTATAGCCCCCTAGTGTAGACGCAGCATACACCAACAGGAGGAGTTTTTTATGCCAGCAGAGAACAACACTTCCCCAAACGATGTTAGCTGTATCTACATTGGGGGTTTTGTCAGCATAGCTATGTTGCGTGGGGGGTGGCAGGGTTCACACCCCTGATGCCAGTATACAT